GGACGGAGCTTTTGGTTCTGACATAGCTCGAGTGTGGGGCGGGCTCCCCTGCTTCATGCCTCACTGAATCCAGGACTTCAGCATCTCAGATACGGGGTCTCTCCCTGTCCCCTGGTTCTGCATCCCCCTCATGCCATCAGCACTGTGTCTGGGCCAGGGTAGGAGTGAGACCCTCCCTGGCCCGGCCTTTGCCCAGTCTGCAGGGGGCTCCAGAGGGGCGACTCGTGGTCCTTGACTGGCGTGGACTCATAGCAGGGCATGGAAGGGCCGGGCGCCCTGCCGGTGGCTCTGGCCTTGGGCAGCTCCCGTAGGCCTGAGCATTGGCACCCCCTCCTCGGGACAGGAGGGGCCTTTGGTCTGGTCTCTCTCCCGTGGCTTTTTTGGTGGCTGTGGTTTCAGTCTCCGTGGCTCTTGGCGGAGGGTGGGGTGTTTGTGGTGGGTTATCAGAAATTGTATTAGTCCACCTGAGGGATCACCCCAGTCTGTGGCTGAGCTCCTGGGGTCACCAGCTCCCTGGTACCCACCTTTCTGGGGTGTAGGCATCACATGGGGCCAGCTGAGCCCTTTCCCCAAGGGGTAGGGCAGTGAGTGGGATGCACAGGGGTGAGGCTGTGGACATAGTGTTCAGGCCGAGAGGATGACATTTGGCCATCTGCGGCCTGTGAGAAGCAAACCCTTACAGTGAGGGTGGCTCTGGGATGAGTGGGGGTGACTATGAACACACTTGAGGTGGGGGCTGCTCTTTTGATGACCCACTTTGTCCCAGATGTCACCGAGTGTGTCTTGGCGGCAGAACTGGCCTGTGTGGGAACCACTGCTGCCGCCGCTTCACAGACAGGGAGACAGCCTCAGGCAGAGCCAGTTCACCCTTCTGTGGGCCCTGCCACCCTCGAGGGCCAGCTGTGTCCTGGACCGCTCCAGTTGTCCCTGCCAGCCAGGGAGAGGGGTGTTGAGGGTGCCTGATAGGTGAAAAAAATGCTGTTTTTAGCTAATGAGGTCAGGAGTCCTTGAGAGACAGAACAGGTGGGCTGTGTGGAACCTGTCCTCCCTGCTCTCAGGAAGGCCTCATGCCAGCTCATCCGGGTTGATCACGGGGCCCAGCCTGCGTGGGAGGCGCCAGGGGCCCACCAAGCTCAGGCGCACTGCCTGGTGTTCAGGGCTGGACTGCAGGGTCTTCCGGACCCCTGCTGACTGCGCCTTCCCCCCAGGCCTTGTTTGTGCTCTTCGTGCTGGCCTACATCCACATCGTCTTCTCCCGCTCTCCTGTCAACTGCCTGGAGCACGTGCGTGACCAGTGGCCCCGTGAGGGCGTCCTGCGTGTGGAGGTGCAGCACAACTCCAGCCGCGCGCCCGTCTTCCTGCAGTTCTGCGAGGGCACCAGCCGAGCCAATTTCCCTGGCTTGGCCGTGGAACCTGGCCTGGAACTGGAGGAAGAGGAGGAAGAGGAGCTGACCATGGAGATGTTCGGGAATAGCTCCATCAAGGTGCGGACACCCGGTGGGCAGACCAGCAGCTGTGCGTGTCCGAGCGCACAGGCCGAGCCCGCCCCCTGCCTTCCTGCTGACAGGGCCTGGGCACGCGGAGAGCAGAGGATCAGGGTGCACAGACTTAGATCCTGTCGTGTGAAAGGGATTGGCTTAGTTCTGGGGGCACCCAGAGTGGGGCACCCCCCACTGACTAGAGGGAGTTAGGCATAGCAGGTGCTGGCATAGTTGGGGTGTTGGTACAGACTTCACCATGTGCCTCATCCCTCATGAGCTGTGAAGCTCTGCCCTGGCCCAGCTTTGGGGTGCAAACCTTCTCTTGGAAATAGTTACTTGGGGAGCTTGGTATTGAGGAGGGCATCTTGATTGGACTCTGGGCAGCAGTTCTCCTGCCACAGAGGGAGAGGGCATTAGGGCAGAGTTGGGGGTCACAGTGCTGGCCCTCCTGTGCCATGGCCTGCTGACGTTCTGCTGCCTGGCACCCCACAGTTTGAGCTGGACATCGAACCCAAGGTGTTCAAGCCGCCGGGCGGTGCTGGCAACGACAGCCAGGAGTTCCCCTTCCCCGAGACGCCCAGTAAAGGTATCGGGCTCAGCTGCACCAGGCATGGCATGGAGGTGGGCAGGGGAAGTCACCTCGGGTCTCTCACAGCCCTTGCCAGAGGGCCAAGGGTCTGAGCAGCCAGTCAGCACTGCCTGGGAGAGTAACTCCTCTGCGCCTCAGTTTCCCTATCTGTCAGCAGCATGTGAGGCCTTGGGGCTGCTCCTGCACCCCACTACTGGCATGCCCTCTCTGGGCCCCTTCCATGAAAGGTGGGGGCTGAGGGGAGGGTGATGGGGCCCCCTCAGCTCAGAACTATGCTCTTAAGAGCCAGCCCCGACCCAAACCCTGGCGTCTGGTGCCGGTGATGCTCCCACAGCCTGGGCTCTCCCCAAGCCAGCTCTGGCCTAACCCAGGAAGGGGCCGTGGCGAGGACTGCCAGGCTGACCAGTCCTGTCCCTCTTCTGCGTCCGACAGTGTGGCCACAGGACGAGTACATCGTGGAGTACTCGCTGGAGTATGGCTTCCTACGGCTGTCACAGGCCACTCGGCAGCGCCTCAGTATCCCGGTCATGGTGGTCACCCTGGGTGAGTCTCGGGGGCTCTCCTGTCTGGGGTTGTGGGCCCTGGTCAGGCACACAGCCGGTCACGTGCCCACCCACAGACCCCACGCGGGACCAGTGCTTTGGAGACCGCTTCAGCCGCCTGCTGTTGGCCGAGTTCCTGGGCTACGACGACATCCTCATGTCCAGTGTGAAGGGCCTGGCTGAGAACGAGGAGAACAAGGGTGCGCCCTCAAGTGGGACTTGATTTGGGGAGGTGGGGAGGCGCGCGGCAGCGGACGAGCTCACTGCTTCCTCCACAGGCTTCCTCCGCAATGTGGTGTCGGGGGAACACTACCGCTTCGTGAGCATGTGGATGGCGCGCACGTCCTACCTGGCCGCCTTCATCATCATGGTCATCTTCGTGAGTGCGGGGCCGGGCAGGGCTGGGGCTCGGGGCTCGGGTGCCCTCCCCAGCTCATGCCTTTCGCTTGCAGACCCTGAGCGTCTCCATGCTGCTCCGCTACTCCCACCACCAGATCTTCGTCTTCATTGGTGAGTCTTCCCTCCAGCCAGCTGGCGAGGGGGGGTGGGCTTAGCTCCAGGCCCCCCGAGGGCCCCTGCCCACCCGTCCCACCCTGCTGCTGGGTGCCTCAATCGGTCTGCCCGCCTGCCGCCCTCTGCCCGCAGTGGACCTGCTGCAGATGCTGGAGATGAACATGGCCATCGCCTTCCCTGCAGCGCCCCTGCTGACCGTCATCCTGGCCCTCGTTGGTGAGGACCCCGCCCCTCTGGCTTCCCCTGCCTGCTCCATTCCACCCCCCAACCCCCGCCTGCTCTTCCCCAGGCATGGAGGCCATCATGTCTGAGTTCTTCAACGACACCACCACGGCCTTCTACATCATCCTCGTTGTGTGGTTGGCCGACCAGTATGATGCTATCTGTTGCCACACCAACACCAGCAAGAGGCACTGGCTGCGGTGAGCGGCAGTTGGCGGGTGGAGCTGCAGGGCGGCTGGGCACATGGGTTGGGCGAGTGGCTCAGCAGGTCCCAGGCAGCAGCAGGTCAGTGGGTGGCACCTCTGCCTACAGGTTCTTCTACCTGTACCACTTTGCCTTCTATGCCTACCACTACCGCTTCAATGGGCAGTACAGCAGCCTGGCCTTGGTCACCTCCTGGCTCTTCATTCAGGTAAGGTGCCCTGCCTCAGCCGCTGGGGTGGGTTACCCCAGGGAACTCTGGCTCTGTGCTCTCCTGACCCAGAGTGCCCTATCTTCAGCATTCCATGATCTACTTCTTCCACCACTACGAGCTGCCCGCCATCCTGCAGCAGATCCGCATCCAGGAAATGTTGCTGCAGACCCCACCACTGGGCCCTGGCACCCCCACAGCGCTGCCAGATGACCTGAATAACAACGGTGGCACCCCAGCTGCTGCCCCTGACCCTGCTGGCCAACCTCCTGCCCTGGGCCCTGGCTCTCAGGGTGCTGGCGGGGGTCCTGGTTCCATGGCCGCAGCACCCAGCTCCCTAGTGGCTGCGGCCGCCTCAGTGGCTGCGGCCGCCAGTGGTGACTTAGGCTGGATGGCAGAGACAGCTGCCATCATCACAGACGCCTCCTTCCTGTCGGGTCTCAGTGCCTCCCTCCTGGACCGGCGGGTCGCTGGCCCCTTGATCCCCAGTGGGGCGCCCCCTCAGGCCCCCCAGGACAGTGGCCCCCCAAATGACTCCCTGATGCTTGACACAGCGCCCCCTGCCACAGGGGTGAGTGGGCCTGACCCCACGTCCACAGCTCCAGCAGATGCCCCCTCGGAGGTGGGGTCCTGAGATAGCCCTTCAGCTGAGCCACCTGTCCCTGGCCATCCTGGCCCACTGGGCATGACCTGGCTGGAGCCCTCAGGGGTCCAGAGACTGTCCCTGGTGGCTCTGGGACTGCCTTGGGTGATGACAGATTTGTCATTTGCCCAGAAGACAGGCTTCTCTCCCCCAGGCATGGGACCCACCTGAGGCATGTCCTTACCCCATTTGTGGTGAGCCCCCTCAGCCAGCACGGGGTGAGTCTGAGCAGAAGTCGGGGGGCTCTGCAGACGGTTATGAAAGGGGTTGGTGGAAGGTCTGGAGCGAGCTATCCCTGAGGGCAGAGCCAGGCAGTTCTAAGCAAGGTGACCGGTCAGGCTTCCTTGCTGTTCTAGTCAGCTGGCTCAGCTGGTGCTCTGTCATGCGCAGTGCCTTTTCCATGCCCCACCCCCACGTGTGCGTGCCATTGCAAGGGAATGGGGGGGCGGGCTGAGCTCTGTCACGGCCACAGGGACATGGTGTGAGGGCGCCAACATTGAAGGCAGCTGCTGGACATTGCATCCAGCCCTGCTCAGGCAGGAGGGCCAGCGGCCAAACCCAGTCACTCAATGAGGAATGCAGAAGAGCGTTCATTCCATTCTATTTAATTGCAGTGTACAAATTGTGTTTGTATATAGAATAAACTGTCGGAAGCGGCCCAGCCCACGCCTGTGTCGGGGGTGGGACTCCGCTTCGGTGCTGGGGTGGTGCGAGGGCAGGGCCTGACCATCTCCGCCTGGTGCCGCAGGTACAGCGCGGCGGTCTGCTTTCTGGGGCCATCACCGCATAGCCCCGGTACCTTCCGAGTAGGCTTGGAGCAGGCGCAGTGGCCTGTCGCAGGCGCTGTCCCCCAGCTGGGCCAGCAGCTCTCCACGCCGCACCAGGGCCAGGCGGAGCCTCTCCCTCGCGCCCGCAATGCGCTGCTCCAGCTCCTGCAGCTCTCCTGGGGCGCGGTGCTGGAGGGCAGTGCGGCTGGTGGGCGGCCATTGGAGCAGGGCCGGGTGGGCCCTTTTGCTGGGCTGGTCTCAGCCTCTGGTGCTGCAGTGGCTGCGGACGGCTCCAGCAGGAAGCGCACGCGACGCTCTCGCACCATGGTCCGGCGCACCCGGGTCCAGCCCTGCTTTGCTGCAGGGGCTGCTGTCGTGTCCTGTTGCTCCTCAGGGCCGCTGAGAACCCTGGATGAAAGGGGTGGGCCAGTGTCCCTGAACAGGCAGCTGTGTCCTACCCATGAGCCCCCCTCTGCCCTTGGGGTAATGGCCCCTGAGGAGGCCATGGTATGGGGACTAAGGCAGGGGGTGGCCCAGTTGAGGGAGGGAATGGGGGTGTTGAGGAGCCACCCCTGGGGTGTCTTGCCTGGACTCTGGCTCCTCCTGCCCCTCCGGCGGCTCTGTGTTGAGGGCACGGTGGATTCTCTGGAACACAAAAAAGCCACATGGGGGTGGGGAGGTGGGAAGCTGCCCTGGTCTGCCCGCCTGGCCAGCACCTCACCTGGCTCGTGTGCAGCCAGTACTGCAGCTTGTTGCCCCTGCGGATGCGTGGCAGCGCCAGGTGATAAAAGATGTGCTCACCCAGTGAGCTGAGCAGAGCGCTGCCAAGGCCCAGGCAGAGTAGCACAAAGAGTCCAGAAAAGTGGTAGATGCCCATCTGGAGCGTCTAGAGGAGGGACACAGGCATAAGCCCGTCACTTTCATAGCCGACCCTTTGGGAACCCCAATCCTGGGCGACAGGCTGGGTCTGGGAGGGGGTGGGCTGTACGCGACTGGGTCACCTGGAGGGGCCACTGGACCTTGGGGTTCATAGCATGACTAGTATTGCACAAAAGCAGACAAAAACCCTCGGGTCCGATCAGGGTTTGGTCTCAGGCAAGGCCTCGACATACTCAGATCCCCCCACACCTGCCCCCACCCTCCACCTCAGGCCCTGCCCACCTCTGTAACGGCGATGGCCCGCTTCCCGCAAGGCACCATCTTGTACCACTTGTCATGCAGCAGGTCGATGAAGCCGGAGGACTTGTAGCGGCTGATGAACTCCGACAGGTTGGAAGTGAGTGGCGAGTTCTGGGGGAGTCCGATGCCGTAGCCTGGGGAAGGCCGGGGTCGGGGGCGGGTTGGGACATAGCTGGACGCAGCCCGAGGGAGCAAGGACCACCATGAACCCCCAGTCACTGGCCCCAGAGGCCTCACCTTCGATGGCGAAGGGCTTGCCCACGGTCAGCAGTTTGCAGTCAGCGTCGATGGAGACCTCGTAGTCCAGGAGTGACTTGTCCATGATGAAGGCGTTGAGCTTGGGGGGGTCACTCCTGGGGGGGTGCAGTAATGGAGTCACTGCCCTGTGCTTCGGCCCTGCCCCGCCCGCCGGGTGCGGCCTTCCCATCGGGCCTGTCCCCTTACGTGAGCATGGCGACGCCATCGGGCGTGGTGGGCGCGCTGTGCGGCCGCATGTGCGCGTGCATCTCTGGGAAGCTCTTCTTGATGTAAGCCTCGGCGCTGCTCTCCCACACGGTGCCAAAGCGGAAGCCCTGGGACGGGTGATGCAGCTGTGGGCCAGCCGCCTGTCAGTGCAGCCTCCTGGGCCTGCATCCCACCCACCCCGACTGCCTGCCTCAGCCTTGGTCATGCATCCTCTCCCCTCTGCCTGCTGGCGCGAGACTGGCTCGGCTCTAGTGGCTTGTCCGGAGCACTTCTGCCCCCACACCATGCCGGTGTGGCCCTTAGAGCTCCCTGGGGGCAGGATGACCCAGACAAGAAACATGGAACTGCAGGCCTCACCATCTCCCCTGGGAGACTTGGTGAGCCCCAAGCTCACCACTTCCAGGATTCTAAGGAATAAGTGGGTGACTGCACCTCCTGACAAGTCCACAGCACCACGGAAACTCCAGACCTGAACCCCACCTGCCCTCTGGAGCACGGCCACCCGGGCCTTTGGGTGATGGAGCCTACCGTACCTGCTGTGCTCTCTTGGCCATCGCACCCTTAATGTTTACTTAATTTAACCTAAAAGAATCCATGTGTGACCAGTGGCCACCACAGTGTAGGCCCAGGCTTTATTCCTAGCTTTTAGGGGACACTAGAGTGGGGTTAGCCTCACAGGCTAAACACCCTTTGGACACAGTCATCCAGAGCCAAATGGTGGGAGACACTGGGACCAAAACAAAAGTATCCAACAAGCGAATCCCCAAGGGAGAGGCGGGGAGGCAGCCTAGCGCAGAGAGGTTTCTACCATCCGTGAGGTGAAAAAAATGCGGCCGGGGGTTGGTGTATCTTGTCAAGTTTCCCTGATGTTTAAGTGCCCAGAATATGGTGAAAAAACAGGATGGGGTACAGAGGCGAAACCGGCTGGGGGCTGATTTTGGAGCTGGATGGCGGGCTTATTCATTGCTTGCCGCTAAGGAATAGCCAATGTTTTTTATTAAAAGTGATAAATACAGGGAGTCTGACAAGATGGTGGCAGAGTAGGGGTGCTGGGCTTCGCCTCCTCCACGTACTCAAAACTGAATTACAGGGCCTCCCCGGTGGCGCAGCGGTTGAGCGCTGAGTTGCGAAGCTACCTGCGGCCTCTGCGGCGCCGGTTCGATCCCCGGCTGCTCCCTGGCCACCAGAGGAGGGTCCCACATGGCGCGCAGACCTCTCCTGCCGCCCGCTGCTCCCCTCAGCAGTGTATTTCGGTTCTTCTGCCTGCTCTGCTCCCCGCTCTGGATCTGGTGAATTCTCTCACCCTCCCGCGCTTCTGACTGTACCCAGTGCATGTATAAAACAAAACGAACGAACAAATAAATAAATAAAATAAAATAAAACATGTCTCTTTAAAAAAAAAAAACAACTGAATTACAACAGAACAGAGTCGACAACTTCTGAAAGAGAAAACATGTCTACCAACTCTATCAGGAGTAAGATGCGGGGGAGGGTGGGGAAACCTGGGTAAACTGCAGGGCTACTGGGGGAGTCGGCCCATGAGAAGGAGGGAGGCCTCTGCTGCTGTTAACTCGGGGCACACACCCATATCAGAGACTTTGGAGACCTGGCACTGCCCGGAGAAGGGGGTACACAGAGTTGGTGCTCAGGACAGAGGGTGCACTACTGGAGAACTAGAGGGGTGAGGGTGAGGAATGGTTCCTGGCTTGGATGTGAGCTCCCAATCTAGAACTTTCCGGAGCCCAGACCAGCAAGGAGAACCAGTTTGGATCGCTTCCTGGAGGCAGTGACCCTCCTATTGGTAACCTGAAGCTGTGATATTCAGAACACCTGCTGATAACCTACCTGGGGCCAAAACAAAGACAACTGAATGCTCTCAATAGCCAAAGCTTAAACGATGGAATCTTAATAATAAGAGGAGCAAACACACCAGGGTAAGGTTCCATACTGGAAAATACAGAATTTCCAGCTGGTGGCCCTGCCTCAGCCACAGGTCTCACAGCACTGCAGCTAGAGAGAGCTCAGCCATGGCCCAGAGGGTGAGGCTGGCGTGAGACTGTACAAAACATTTGGCTGAGAGCGAGAGTAGGGACGGATAGCACTCGGGGAGCCCCACAACTCAGACCTGCAGCACAGTAGGAAATCTGAGCCTTCCGTGCTCACTGGAGGTGAACTTTTGGTGTCCTAGACAACCCCAGATCCCCTCAACCTGTGGCTCCTTACTGGTGTCAGCAATCCTGCCATTTGAAGAGACACAAAGGGAAAATAATACAAACCTAGAATTACACCCACTTTTTAAAAAAGATTTATTTACGCATACAAGAACTGGGGTGTGGGGTGAGAGGATTCAGCAGAGACAGAGTGGGGAGCAGAACAGATGGACCCACTGAAATACACTGCTGAGGGGAGCAGTGGGGAGACAAAAGAGGTCTGCCGCACCATGTGGGTAGCTCCCTGGCCAGCCGGGGATCAAACTCATGCTGCAGAGGCTGCAGACAGCTTCCTAGTGCTGAGAATTCACCACCAGGGAGCCCCTATACCCATTGTAGGAGAGGTATAAATCCAATTTATTAATAAAAGGAAATTCCCTATTACAACCCACAAATCTAAAAATAAAGAGATTAAACAACAGACCACACATGATCAAGCAAAAAAATAAACAAGAAGTCTCAATCCAGGAGGAGTTTAAGTTACCAATTATAATCATACTTATAAGAAAAACAATGAATGATGTAAAACAGGAACACAAGAAAGACAAAAATATGAGACTGCTACAGCGAGAATTAATGGATCTAAAAAGCACTATAACCAAATTAAAAAATACAATAGAGGGCCTCAAGAGTAGATGACTGCAAATAGCGGAGAGAATTAATGAGCTTGAAAACAGTGAACACACAAATAGAACAACCAAAAGAAAAAATAATTAAAAAATAAAAACAGTGTAAGAGTCTTTGTGACAACTTAAACAGAAAAAGCATCTGTATCATGGACAGGGGGCAGGGGCTGTCCCAGAAAGAGAAGAGAAGGAGAAAATAATGGAAAATATATTTAAAGAAATTGGGGCCTCCCCGGTGGCGTAGCGGTTGAGCGCTGGGTTGCGAGGCTGCCCGCGGCCTCTGCGGCGCCAGCTCGATCCCCGGCTGCTCCCCGGCCACCGGAGGAGGGTCCCACATGGCGCGCAGACCTCTCCTGCCGCCCGCTGCTCCCCTCAGCAGTGTACCTCAGTCCTTCTGCCTGCTCTGCTCCCCGCTCTGGCTCTGGTGAATTCTCTCACCCTCCCACGCTTCTGACTGTACCCAGTGCTTGTATAAATAAATAAATAAATAAATAAATCTTTAAAAAAAAATTGCTGAGAATTATCTCAATTTGGCAACCAAATTTTCTGATCCAATAGGCCCAAAGAGTTCCAACCAAATTATTACCAGATTGACACACTCCAAGACACATTATAATGACACTGTTGATGTCAATGACAAAGACAAAATATTAAAATCACCTAGGGACAGCGGAGAAACCGATGATAAAAATCACCAATTAGACTTCCCTGGACTTTTCAGTAGAAACCTTACAGCCAAGAAGGAAATAGCAGAAGATATTTATAGTACTCAAAAAAATTTTCTAGACCAGAAAAAAAAAAATTTCTAGACCAGAATACTTTACCCTGCAAGATTATCATTCAAGACAGAATATAGGGTAAGGAATTTCACTGAAAAGCAAAAATTGAGGGCCTCCCTAGTGGCGCAGGCAGTGCTGTGAAGTGCTGTGAAGCTGTCCACAGCCTCTGCAATGCTGGTTTGATCCCCGCCAGTCATGCAAGATACCCATGTGGCATGGCAGACCTCTCCTGTCTTGCCCACTGCTCCCCTCAGCAGTGTATTTCATAGATCCTCCTGTTCTGCAGCCCACTCTGTCTCTGGTGAATTCTCTCACTCTCCTGCACCTCTGGCCAGTACCCCGATTCTTGTATACATACATAAATCTTTAAAAAAATGTTTTTTAAAAAAAGCAAAATTTGAAGGAACTTAAATCAACACTAAGCTCAACATGAAGTACTAAAGGGGCTACTTATTATAAAGCAACAACAACAAAACATATGGAGGCAAAAGACACCTAAATTTTACATTTTACAATGTGGTGACAGTGAAAATATGACCCATCAGAATGAATATGAGATCAAACCATCCAAACAGTTACAAAAATAGTCCATTGGGGCCTCCCTGGTGGTGCAAGAGGTTAAGTGTCAGCACTATGAAGCTATCCCCAGCCACTGCAACATGAGTTCCTCATGAGTTCCATCCCTAGCCAGGGAGCTGAACCACATGGCGCAGCAGACCTCCCCTGTCTCGCCCACTGCCCCCTCAGCTGTGTATTTCAGTCAGTCTGCCTGTTCTGTTCCCCGCTCTGTCTCTGGTGAATCCTCTCACCCACCGCACCTATGGCCTAGACCCCAGCTCTTGTATGCATAAATAAATAAAAATAAATCTTAAAAAAAGTCCATCGTGTATATATATATATATATATTTAAGATTTATTTATTTATGCATACAAGAGCTGGGGTCTTGGCCAGAGGTGCAGGGTGGGGGGCGGTGAGAGGATTCACCAGAAACAGAGTGGGGAACAGAATAGGCAGATTCACCGAAGTACAATGCTGAGGGGAGCAGCGGACAAGTCTGGAGAGGTCTGCTGCGCTATGTGGGCAACTGTTTCCTGGCCGTCTGGGGAATTGCACTTGTGTTGGAGAGGCTGCAGACAGCTTCAAAGGTTGCGTCTTAACCCCTTGTGCCACCAGGGAGGCCCAGTCCATTGTATATTAACCTCAGCATAATCTTCAAACAAAAAAACAGTGGAAGTAACTCATATACAATGGAAATGGAACCTAATTAAAACATAAAAGGATGGGCCTCCCCTGGTGGTGCAGCGGTTGAGCGCTGGGTTGCTAAGCTGCCCGATCTGGCCGCTGGGCGAGGGTCCCACATGGCGCACAGACCTTTCCTGTCGCCCGCTGCTCCCCTCAGCAGTGTACTTCGTCAGTCTGTCTGTTCTGCTCCCCGCTCTGGCTCTGGTGAATTCCCTCACCCTCCCTCGCTTCTGACTGTACCCAGTGCTTATATAAATAAATCTTTAAATATAAATAAATAAATAAATTCAAAACTACCATAGAAAAATGCCTCTTTGGCAGATACAAAGCATTAAAAAAAAACAAACAACATAAAAGGATGACCTTTAAAAAAAAAACTAAAAAAAAAAAGCAACAACCACTTATGTATCATAGATCACCTTAAATGTAAGTAGGTTGAATTCACCAATTAAAAGTTTGACAGTGGCTGACTGGAGTTGAAAACAAAGTCAACCTTCTGCTATTTACCGGAAACCCATCTCACCACTGAAGACTAGCACAGACTTAGAGCTAAAGACTGAAAGATAATTCTATAAGCAAATGGCAATTTAAAAAAAGTAACAGCTATATTTGTATCAGATAAAATGGACTTCCAACTAAGAAAGCTAATCAGATACAGAGACAGACATTATGATTACGGGCCTGGTAGAAGAAATAACACTTATCAAGCTATATTCACCAAAGATGGCACACCAAGATACATCAGAAGAGAGACGGACAGCAACACTAGGAGACTTCAATACTCTGCTTAAAACTATAGGCAGACGGGGCCACCCTAGTGGCTCAAGGGGTTGAGCAAAGCACTATGAGGCTGTCCACAGTCCCTGCAGCATGAGTTCGAACTCCGGCCGGCCAGGGAACAACCCACATGGCACAGCAGACCTCGCCTGTCTCGCCCGCTGCTCCCCACGGCAGTATGTTTCGGTTGGTCTGCCTGTTCTGCTCCCCACTCTGTCTCTGGTGGGCCCTCTTGCCCCTTGAACCTCTGGCCTGTACCCCAGTTCTTGTATTCATAAATAAATAAATTAAAAAAAAAGACGATAGACAGACAAACAAGACAGAGAATAAATAGACAATACCCTTAAGTGAATAACTAGACCAAATAGACTTAACAGACATCTATAGAACACGCCACCCAAAACCCACGGCATATACACTTTTTTCATGTATATGGAAACAACCTGAGTGTCCACTGATAGAGGAGGCAATTAAGAAGGTGTGGTATATCCATACAACAGACGACTACTCAAGACAAAATGTTATTTACAGCAAAATGGAAGGAGTTTGAGGGAACTATGTGTAGTAAAACAAGTCATAATGACAAAGACATAGCAGACAATATGAGAAAGTAAAATACTTATAAAAACTAGAGTACACTAATAAATGAAGCGAGGTTTCTGAAGTTAAGAGGGAGGGGGAAGGAGAAAGGGGAAATATTTTTAAATAAATTTAAAAAATAAGAGAAGGAAAAACCCATAGCCTGGTACATGCCCCTGCTCTTCCCACAACTTTCCGGGGTTCCTGGCAAAAGTCTGTCTTGGGAAAAGCTACTCTAGAGGCCCAGGCCCTCCTGAGCCCATGTGAAAACTTCCCGTTCCTCTCCCTCCCCCACACCACCCCCTTCCCCAACCCACTTGCTGTGCTACAACCTCAGGGCCTCCTCCCAGCTGTTCCCCAAGCCCTTTAAACACACTGTCCCTTCTACATAGAAGTCCAGCATCTGCATAAGTCCCTACGCACAAGGAAGTCCCTCAAGTACCACCCCTACTGGGGAATTTCCTGCTACCCGAGTAAGAAAATGTCCCTTCCCAGCACTCACTGGGTCCCCACGCTGCCTTATTGTTCCCTGCCACCTGTCCCCCCTCACACACCATTCACTGGCTTGTCTTGATTCATGTGTCTCCCCTCAGGGGGGGAGCCCTCTCCTGCTCTGCCTGGCACTCAGTAAGCCTCTGGGAGCAGACGGCTCCTTGTGGCAAGGTCTCTGGAAAGCAGGTGTGTGTATGTGTGTGTGTGTGAGAGACAGACCCCCCAGCTCTGCCCTGGGGCCACCCACCTTGGGGTCATGGATCCCAGACAGCTCCTCAAAAGTCTTATCCCCAACCATGACGGCGGCCAGGTTGGCCGTGTAGCTGGAGAGCACGAGCAGGCAGAAGATGGCCCACAGGTTCATGAGCAGACGCCCCGTGGGGCACTTGGGTGTCTTGCTGGAGACAGTGCGTCCGAAAAGTATGGCGTAGCAGAGGTTGAGGGCCGAGGAGTAGGAGAACACGGTGCCCCGGTTTCGGCCCCGGGGGGTGAGGCCGTAGGGGCTGCGCCACTCATACAGCGTGAGGAAGAGCGCGGTGAGGTGCAGCGCCGTGAAGACGCCCACCCACATGGACCAGTGCAGCGGCCACATGAAGGCGCCAATGGGCGAGGCCGTGTCCCGCGCCCGCACCATGATGCCCAGGCTGGTGGAGAAGAAGGGGCTGCTGAAGTCCATCACCTGCGAGCGGGCTGAGTTGATGCTGAAGCTGGTGACGGCCATGTGGGCCCTGCCCGCCAGCAGGTCGCCCACCAGGCCGGTCCAGCGGCCGTCCCGCAGGGCGCCGTACTTGCCGTCGCCCACGATGTACAGCTCGAAGTCGAAGGGCGTGTCCTCGGCCAGGCGCTCCAGCAGGTCCATGCAGTAGCCGTAGCAGCACTTGCGCAGGGCCCGAGGCAGGGAGCCGTTGGCCAGGGCCGTGAACAGCGAGTCTAGCGTGGCCGAGTCAGTGGTGCCAGGGTCCAGGCACAGCTGTCCCGCGGGGCACTGCCCATCCTCATCTGACTCGCGGGCGAACACGAAGGGGTGCTCCACCAGCGTCACAACGCGCAGCTTGGGCCGGGTCTGGGCGCCTGACGGGGGTGGTGGCCTCAGGGCACCCCCTGGCTCCAACTCCAGCCGCCCGTCCCTCCAGCTGCCCACTGTGGCCCAAGCGGGGGTGCCCCGTGGGTCCTGGCGTAAGCTCCACACCCTGAAGCTCCGGGACATGTGCACCTGGGAGGAACTGGTCACCCACACTGGCCCCGTGCGGCCCTGGAAGGATGTGCCAGCCAGGAACCTGCCGGGCAGGCCGTGGGGGTGTCAGGCAGGGGACGCTCCATACTGAAAATCTCAGGCCTTCCCTCTCCCTCGCTTGCCTGGGCACATGCTGGGGTACCACAGCGGGTATGTGGGCATCCTCCCATACCCGGGTTCCTTACTAACAGGTGCCCACCTCCTGCAGGCTGGAGCAAAGCCAAGTGGGGCTGCTTGGATTTGGGGTGCTGTGCACCATCAGTGGTCTCCCGGCTGGCCATTCCACCTGCTCTGACCCTGCCCTCAGCTCTGCCACCAGGGACCTGCCCTAAAATGTTTCCCCGGCGGAGCACCAGGGCACTGGAGCCTCGGAGCAGCAGCGCTGCGTGGATGAGCAGCCTGTGCGGGACGTTGTGCCAATGGGGGCTGCCTCACACAGACTGTGGGGGGCACAGCCACCTCCCACGATGTGGGCAGCGGCCAGGGCATGACAGCTGTGGGGATGTAAACCAGGCTCAAGGCGGAGCCAGCCCAGGGTGCAGCTCTTCCGCCGGGCACTCCCCAGGTCCTGGCTGGGTCACCCCTGCTGGGGTCCCCCCTCAGTGCCTTCCTCGTCCTCCCACTTCTCCCCAAACACCTGAGTGAACCCTCCATCAGATCCTATTCTGGGGCGCCGCGTCCTCCTACAACAGGTGCGAGCGGCCCGTCATGGGGGCCCAGAGCCTGGGACTCAGCCAGGGCCCAACTGCCTACACGACACGGGAGCAGATGTGGCCCAGGGGGTGCCTCGGTGCCCGTCCCACGGCAGGGCCCCACTCACCGCGCCAAGAGGCGGCCTGAGGACGCAGGCCCGGCGGGCTGCAGGTCGCTGCAGTTGACGGCGGCCGGGAGCAGGGCCTGCTCTGGGTGCACCTGAGCCACGCTGCCCAGAGCCCGAGCCACCAACTCCACCGCGTCGTGGATGGCGGCCTCCAGCGGGGGGCGCACCACCTCCCCCAGCGCCAGCAGCCCAGGCGGCAGGCCCTCCGTGGGCAGCGTGTCAGCGGGCAGCGGGGTGCCGAGCAGCCAGCGGGGCCCGGGGGGCACATCCCGCAGCACCCGAAGAGCCTGGGCAGCGTCACAGCCCAGGAGCACCGCCAAGGGCACTGGGGCTGTGGACCCCAGAGGGGCGAGGCGCGCCTGCAGCCCGGCGTTGCCCGTGTCTGGCCGGCTTAGGTCCAGCACCAGCTTAGGGGCCTGGCCAGCCCGGTCTGTCCAGAGGTCTACCAGGCCCCCGGGGTCCCGCACGCGGCAGAGTACCAGGCCCACATCCTCCCAGGCGTGTGCCTGCAGGACCGACGCCAGCACATCCAGCAAGGTCTCCAGGGGGCTGGCCCAGTCCAGCTGCAGGTGGAAATGGCTCTGGAAAGGGAGCGGTCATAGTTAGGGGCCTCCATGTCCCACCACGCCCCACGCACCCCCATCAGTAGGATCCGGTAAGAAGATGTCACCATGATTGCTGGACCTGCAGCTTTCCTCCTAGCTGCACCCCTGTGCGAACCCCTTCTTGGCTCCCTGTGGCCATCAGCACAGAGCCCAGCCTCCTTAGGTTAGCATTTTAGATCAGATTCTTGGCTTTCCCCACACTGTGCTACCCCACTTTGAGGCATTGCCACCCAACTCCTACACATCCTTCACAACCCAGCCCCTTTGTCCCTTCTCTCCACAGACTCCTCTTCGCTCATGCAGGAGTCTGCCCCCCACCCCCCAATCAGGACTCTCCTAGACTCAAATCCCTCCTTTAACCCCAGTCCTGACCTCACCCACCCCCACCTGGGAGGTCCTCTAGGGCCATGGATGGAGACCAAGGGACGGCTCATGCCCTTGCGATGCCCAGCCAGCATGCTTCCTCCTGAGACCCCCTCACTACACATCACTGCCCCTGTGCTAGGCAAGCCAGGGCCTGGGGGCGCTCTGCCTGGCAGCATCCAGAAAGTTCCCCTGAATTTGCAACAAGTGTGTGAAGGATGAGAACTTTGCCACATATAAGGTGGGCAGGGTGTTGCCTGGGTGGGGGCAGAGTGCCAAATGCTGGGGGACAAGGTGGGGTGCTGCTCAGTTCTTGAGGGGACAAGCGGGCGCCCCAAAGCCTGGCGGTTCCGACAGGGAGGCTGCAGCCCCTGGAGACGGCAGCAGAGGGCACCACAAGCCTGGACTTCGGTTCGAGGCTCGCGGCGGGCAGGGGCAGCGGCGCACGGGGAGAGACGCTGCCCCTGCCCGGGCGGGAGAGGCCGGCCCTGCCCGGGGGCGCCGTCGCGGCGGCGGAGCGAGGGGGCCGGGGAGGGAGGGAGCCGTGGCCTGGAGGGGAGCCCCGGAAGGCCCCTCCGCGCGCGTCCCGCGGACTTAGTGGGGGGTCTCTCACCGGGGTGGGGGGACAGGGCCCCCGGGCTCTGCCCTGCTCGCCTCCTTAGGCCATTTTCTATTTTCTTTGCAAATTCGAGCGCGGGGGGTGGACCAGACGCCCCAAGGACACGGAGGGGCGGCTTCGCGCGCCCGAGAAGGGCATCTGGGGTCCGAGAAGGGCATCTGGGGTGCTGTGGGTGGGGAGGCCTTGGCTTTGAGGGTCTCCAGAGCGGAAGCGGGGGGCTCCTGCAGGAGGAGAATCTCCCCCGAGTACAGGAGCCGCGCCCCCGAGAGAGAGCGAGGAGACCCGCGCCGCCCCGCGCGGGGCCGGACCCGGAGGCGCTGGAGGACGGAGGGGGACGCGCCCCGGGCCCCAAGGGCCGTGGTCTCGGCGGCGGGGCTCCGTCCCCAACGCCCTGACGAGGGTCTGCACACCCCGGGGAGTCCTGTGGGCTCCATCGTCCGGGTCCAGAAGTTTCCCGCAGGAGCGGGGGGTCCAGGGCTCTCGGTCCCGACCACCCTGGGGCTCCCGCTTTCGGGTTCCAGGTCCCCGCGCTCGGGGGGCGGGGGGGGGCGGCAAGTGGGTCCCGAACTCCAGGTTCCGCGAGACCCAGGGCCGTCCGGGGGCTTCGGACATCGGGGCTCCGCATCCCCGCAGCCGGCCTCCTGGGCATCCCCCGGTTCCCACCAGGGGTCCAGAAAGCCGGGGCCGCTCGCCCCGGGACTCTGCCCCACAGCGCGGCCAGGGGCCTCCCTCCTGCGCACCCCGGGGCCCCGCGCTCCAGCCTCCGGGCGTCGGTGCGTACCGGGGCGCCGAGGGGCGCGCGCGCCTCCCTCCGCAGCACGCTGAGCACCGGGGTCTCCGTGGCGGCCGCCAGGAAGTGCAGCTGCAGCAGCTCGGGCCACGCCTCGGGGAAGGCCAGCACGGCCGCCACGCCCGGCGCGGCCAGGGCCTGGCACAGGCCGAGGGCGAGCGACGCGGGGTCGCGCGCGGTGGGCGCAGCGACCACCAGCTCCAGGCTCAGGTTGTGCGGCAGCCGAGGCGCCGGGGAGGCCCGGGCCAGGGCGGCGCGGACGCGGGCGCGGGCGGTGGGCGCGCGGGGCAGGAGGGCGCCCAGGCGCACCGAGCCCCCCAGGCGCGCCGAGACGCCGCACGGCTGCGGGTGGCCTGCAGCGGACCCCGGCGCCAGAGCCAGGCCGAGCCACAGCGTCCACGCAAACTCCATCCCAAAGTTGTGGCCAGGCACGGCGGGCGAGGCTGAGCCGCGGGTGCAAGGGCGCAAGAGGCTGGATCCCAGGCTGCCAATCGCTCCCTCCCCGCCCCCACGGGCCGGCGCACCCCTCCCTGCCTGGCCTGCGCCCGCCTTCACCTCTCCCGGCCCCGCAGTGCCAACAGCCCACGAAGGAGGAGCAGGACTACATGGCCACACCGCCTCCTTCTCTGCACCAGGCCCATTATGTCCCCGTTCTTCAGGTGAAGAAACAGGCGTATTACCAAGGAGGGAGTTTTATGTCTCAATCGGGTCCTCTCTTCCACCCCACTGCTCACCCCTGTTCCCTGCAGGATCTGCCATCCCCCACCCGCCCACTGTTCCCTCAGGAGTCAGGATTTGCCCAAATGGCCACTCAGCAACACCCTGCACCTCCAGGTGGCAGCAGTCACCCTGACCAACCTGGGTGAGTGTGCTCCACATCTTGTGCACGCTGGGGAAACTGAGGCAAGAATGTCTCATGGCAACCTAGAGGGTAGATCTAGCCTCTAGCCCTGGCGGGCATCTTGGACCAGAGAACTCTTTACCCTTCAAGACTCAGTGCCAAATGCCCCTGCTCTGGAGAACCTACTTGTCCCCCAGAAAGATGCAGAAAACACACACACACACACACACCCATGGAAGCTCAGCTCCTGGTGCCTGCGTTAGCCGCATCACTTAATCTATTTGTTCTTTCATTCACTTTCTTATTTAGGGGCCTTCTTCTCCCCCCACTCAACCCTGGGACGGGGCGCAGGTCTGTCTGGCTTGGGAACTGCTGTCCCCAGCCTCACACACAACAGGCGGTCGCTCCGCTCGGACCGGGGCACTTGGGTACATCACCTTCCACTGCTCTGGACCTTTCATGCCTCCCTCGTCCGCCAATCCCCAGCCGTCTCCCGGGTCTCCAGCTTCCCCACAACGACCTGGGGTCCCCTGGTCCTGGCCTGCAGCGGGCATTCAGCAAACACCGATCGACCCCCCCAGGCAGGGGGAGTGGAGAAAACCAAGGCATCTCTCAAGATATTCCAAGTGGGCAGCCATGCCAGCATGGAACATTCCAGCTCTAATGAATGAATCAACACTCGGTTTTGGTGCTTTTTTTTTTCCACACAGAAAAAAACCCCATCTCCTTTTGGAGCCAGTGTTGCAGAGGGAGGGAAAAAAACTCCATTAGATAAATAAAAATGTCGAGTGCTGGCCAGCGACATGGGGTGAATTTTGAGACGATGGTAATGAGGACGCTGGCCGGGCATCCAGGGGCAGGAAGGGTCCGAGGGCCGGGGGTTCTGGGCTCCTCCCTACCTGAGGCCTGTGTCACGCCAGCTCCTCGCCAGGACCCCCCGCCAGCGCACCCACCTGCCCCGGCCGAGGCAGCTTCTCCTGTCCTCAGGGACCACCTGGGCCTCAACCCAAAGTGGGCTCGTGCCCCGCCCACAGCGAGAGTCCCCGGGGATGGACCGGGGTCACTTCCTAGCCCCAGCCAGAGTGTCGCGGACGCTGGTTGTCAGCCAGCACGTGTGCGGGCTCTGGGGAGGCCGCCGCCTGCCGTGACTGCGACTCACACAGGACACGCTCCGGAGCCCCGGCCTCCCACCTCCTCGCCCGGCTTCCCCGGGGCTGCCGGTGCCCCACTCATCATCCTGCGCCGGCCGGACTCCGGGAGAGCATAGGGCTTTGCCCCTGAGTCCCGGGGGCGGCCGCCTGGCTGCCGGGCTGCGGTTTCCCCATCCGCGCGGGCCCGCGCCCTACTCAGCTGCTGCTCGGGTTGCACAAATGAACCCAGAGAAGACTGTTTTTTCACTGTGGTAAAATACACACAGCAAAGACTTTACCTTTTTTTTTTTTAAAAAAAAAAAGATTTATTTATTTATTTATACAAGCACTGGGTACAGTCAGAGGCACGGGAGGGTGAGAGAATTCACCAGAGCCAGAGCGGGGAGCAGAACAGACAGACTGACGAAGTACACTGCTGAGGGGAGCAGCGGGCGGCAGGAGAGGTCTGCGCGCCATGTGGGACCCTCGCTGGTGGCCGGGGAGCAGCCAGGGATCGAACTGGCGCTGCAGAGGCTGCGGGCAGCTTCGCAACCCAGCGCTCAACAGCTTCGCCACTGGGGAGGCCCTTTTTTTTTTGTTTTTTTTTTAAGATTTATTATTTTTATGTATGCATACAGGAACTGGGGCGCAGGCCAGAGGTGCAGGGGGTGAGAGGACCCACCAGAGACAGAGTGGGGAGCAGAGCAGGCAGATCCACTGAAATCCACTGCTGAGGGAGCAGCGGGGAGACAGGAGAGGCTGCTGCGTTGCCTGGTGGGTGGCTCCCTGGCTGGGGATCGAAATGCTGATATCTTCATAGTGCTGAGGTTTTAACGCCTGCACCACCAGGGAGGCCCACACAGGGGCTTCATCTTCATTCATTTTAATCTTTGAGGACCCTCCTGACTGCTGAGCACAGTGGCTGTCCAGCTCCATATTCCAATCCGCCGCACAAGGATTCCAAGTTTCCCACCCCCTTGCCAACCATTGCTGTTTTCCATCTTTTTTGTAAATGGTCGTCCTGGCTGAGGATACAAGGTGGCGGCGGTGTCTGGCTGCGACTCTACTGAAGAATCTCAGCCAATACTCAGGGGTCAGTCAGCACCTCCCCATGAAAGCTGACCCTCCCCCGTGTCTGCTTTCGCCCCTGCCCCTTGTGCACAGCCCAGGGAGCCGCGAGCCAGGATGCAGGGAAGGGGCTGGGGAGGCCGCCGCTGTCTCGATGTCACATCACCATGGCCTGGGAAGAGACGCAAAAACTCCAATCCCTCAGCACTCTGCACCGAGACACCTGAGCCCCCGCGGGGGGATGGGGGGTGTCCAGGGGCTAAGGTGGGTGGAGCATGACGGGAAAGAAGTGGCTTGGGACATGGGTGCATGCTGGGCCATCTGGGTTCTGCCCTTGGAGAAACCCTAAGCTGGGGCGCAGGTGGGAGGCGGGCACACTGGCATGCACAGTCGTGCTTGCCCATCTGCCCCTGGTCTCCAGCCTGGTCACTGGGCCGGAGGTTGGCCCCTCCCCGAGTCTCACCACGAAGGGCGCCCATCTCTTTGCTTGCTTACTAGAGCTCAGGGTAGCTGGGGCCCCTCGGGGCTGAGCTGGGGTGCTCCCAGGCACCTGCACAGCCCTGTGCAGTCCTGGCACACACCAAGCGCTCAGTGAGGAGCAAGAGGCCGGGCGGGGGCAGCCATGGAGGGCAGTGTGGGGGTGCTGCTGTACCGTACAGTACCCGCACCCTGCCCCTGGGGGCTGCCCAGATGTGAGCAGGAGCCCATGCAGGAGGGGGCGGAGCTAAAGGACACCAAGTCCTGCTGGCAGAGATGGTCCAGGATAGCAGGTCAAACTGTTTCTGCAGAAAGTGTACAATCATCCTACAGACAGGGTGACGTCACTGGCTGCATGCTGTGCACCGCTCATGAGGGGGTACCCAGATAAGGAAATGGTCTGCAGTCCAGGTCACCTGTGACTCTAGCGGGTGGGGGAGGCCCTGGGCCTCGCCCCTCACAAGCCCGCATGGCAGCCTGCAGTGGAGGGGGCACTTCATTGTTCAGCTCCAGTCAGGGCCGGGAACAGCGTGGGTGTGGAGTCATTTGCGTATTAATGTCCAGTTCTTCCGGGCCTGTCTGTAGCTTCGGGTGACTCAGTTCTGAATCAGAACACTGGCGGCCCGAGGGGGCAGTGACCCTACCTTCTCTGCTCAGGGGTGCCTACCTCTGCCCCAGCCCTGCGGGAACATTGAGTCACCCGTCTCTGCAGTGCCAGCCGTAGGTTGCGGTAGGCTGGGGAGCCTTCTGAGGAGGGTCCGGAGAGGTGCTGGGGGCAGGGGCTGGGCCCTGGGTGTCCTTGGAGGTGAGGGCAGAGGGAGAGGCAGCAGTGAGCTGCATTTGCAAACTGCCTCACGATGACCTGCCAGTCTAGGCCTGGAACTTGACCAGGGCCAGGGGGCATCAGGCCCGAGTCGGTGAGGGGTCCCGTGGAAAGTCAAATTTAAAAGCTCGCCTCTCCATCAGGCCCTCTGATGACCAAGGGGTGAGAACAGATGGCTCAGTCTACAAATGGGAAACTGAGACCCTGCAGCTCCAGGGAAGGGCCAAGAGCTTTAACCCCCAGCCCTGCTGACTGGCCACTATGGTTTCTGGACCAGTGCTGGCCTCGTCTTGACTTACAGGGCACCCCCACCCCCACAAATAGTGCAAGTCCCTGATGGGGCCTCATTCCCCTTCTGGCCTCAAAGGACAGAGGTCTTCTGCCCAACAGCCCCCTCCCAGCCCCACCATCAGCCAGCAGGCCCAGGAGGCCCAGTGAACACCCCATCCTAGCTACCCCACAGGGCCATTACCCCAAGGGTCCAGGGGCATTCCGCTGCACTAGCTAGTGAGGGCAGAGCCCCCAGAAGGGGGAAGTGCCATTAGCCTGAAAGCATTAACTCAGCACTGGCCGCTGCTGCAGCCGCCGCAGTTACAGCACCGCTCAATCACATGGGTTTTCTGGATCATTAAGCAGTACTGTCAGCTGGGGGCTGCTCTCTGGAAGGTTTTGTTAGTGGCCTTGGGACATTCATCTGGGCTGGGCTCCAGGCACTGGCTGGCAGTGTCCTCAGGGCAGTAAGTCTGGCCTCTCAGGCCTCTGATGTCCACAAAACAGTGTGGGTAGAGCGACCTGCATGTGTGTCCCTCTGGGGGACCTGGGAACTGGCCACTACCCTCAGGTTTGGTTGCCCGCCCTGGGTTGGGAGAACCATCTGGTGGCCATCAGAGGGACAGGCACTGTGGCCACACTGAGCTCCCTCTCTTGACCCAGGTGACCTTGGCTCAGAGCCCTGCGCCCGGCGGTGCCCTCCATGGGAGTGACTGGTCTTCACCGCTGTGCAAAGGCACTGAGGCAGCAACTGGACTGTTGGGAACATCTGAGCTCCAGTTTCTCTCAATGGATTAAAAAACTGGAATGCTGCAAGAGGCTGGGGGAGGTTCCATGAGGCAGCCCGGCCATGGGGAAGAATCTGGAAACACCCCGTACACACACAGACCCAAAAAGGAGTTTTCACAAGTCTTTTGTTAAAAAGAGAACAGCACCAAAATGACACAAAGACCGGGGGTCCATACTCAGGCGACAGGACCCTGTAAAATCCAAACATCAGAAAGTGGCAAAGCGCGAGCTCTGAGCCTTGAGCAGGCTGGTCCCTGGGGAGGGCCTGCCCTGGGTGGGCCAGGACCGGGCTGTGGCCCACACCCCCAGTGCGCACCCGGCAGTCTGGCTGGGGGCTGGGGGGGTGCGGGAGAGGCTCACTTGGCCGGCCGCGTGATGATGCGGGTGGAGAAGTCAAACAGGTCGCGGTTGATCTTGCGCAGGTTCCGTACTTCATCCTCCAGCTCGGTCACGCGGATGCGCAGCTGGTCCTGGCCGCCCAGGACATTCTGGGGAAGGGGAGAATGCTCAGAGGCAGGAGGGGTGGCAACAAGCCCCTGCACCTGAAGCAACCAGGAGGGTCCCCCACTGCCCGAGACAGGCTGGCCTCACGCAGGGCCCTGTTCCTCCACCCTCCGGTAGGGTGCCACCCTCCCCCCCACCAGTGTAGAGCCCACCCCTTCTTGCAGCCCTGCCGCCCGTTCCACCCTATTTCTCCAAGCCCCACTTCTGCGCCTCTTCACCTGTTGCCGCCTAGCACCCAAAGACCCGCCTGGCTCCCCAGGACGCCTGTCCAGCTCCCCAGCCCACCTTCTCCATGGTGTTGCACGTGACCACGTGCAGGTGCTCGGTCCGCTCCAGGTAGCTGGGCTCTGATCCCTAAAACAAGAGGGGCTCATTACACCGCTCAATCACCCCCTTCAGTGTGGGCAGTGGCCCTTGGGAGGGCATCCTCACACCCGTGAGGCTGAGCGAAGGGGGGAGCCAGGTGGGTCTTTGGGTGCTAGGCGGTGACAGGTGAAGAGGCGCGGAAGCGAGCCTTGGAGAAATAGGGTCAACGGGCGGCAGGGCTGCAAGCCCCAAGCTGACCAGCAGGGGTGGCATCTCTGTTCCAGCCGCAGGTTCCAAGCCCACTTCTGGAGAAAAGCAACACACATGCTCCCCTCTCCCCAAACCTGCTTCCTGGCATGCCCCAAATGCAGGCCTGGAAGAACATGCTGAAACCAGGAGCAAGAAAGCATCAGAACTGATGGCAGTGCCTGCCTGGCCCAGCAAGATGGACAGATACTGCTGCAGTGTCCCCTGGCACTCGCTGCTTGGACACGCTGCCCGCGGCTGAGGAGGGGACTCATCACCAGTCCCCAGGGACCTGCGCGACCCTGAAGCAGGGCAATCACGGCTGGCACAGCCTGAGCGGGTCAGAACAGGCCCCACCCAGGACAGGCAGGCAGGGGGCCTGGCTGGAGGGGAACCCCGTGGGTGCAAGGACATGCATGAGCAGCGCCCGCCGTTCTGCTAGACCAGCACCCCAAGCCCAGCTCTGCATCTAGAAGGACACCCCGGTGTGTGGCGCCCTTCCACCCTGGAAGACTCCAGTGTTGTGGGGTCAGGTACCGGCTGCCAGGCTGGGCTCAGCCATGTGGTCAGAGGCTGGAGGTGCAGTGTCCACACCAGCACCAGGGCAAGGCCTACAAGTGGGGGCCAGGCCCACCCCACCAGGGATGGAGTCGTTCAGTGGGGACAGAGTGGGGGCCAGCGTGTTCTGGAGGCTGGAGCACGGGTGCTGCCAGGGGCGCGGTGTACCTGCTGGTGGAGGCCCAGGCGCAGGGTGAGGCCCCCGCGGTGCCGCTCGTCCCCGTGCTCGGCTCCCAGCAAGTGCTTGTTGAAGTGGGGCAGGGGCAGGCCGGGCCTGAAGTCGGAGCTCAGCATGCTGACAGGGGCCAGCATGATGGAGGCGTTGGTCACCGGGCCTGTGGGGCAGACCCCATCACGGACCACCCTCAGGAGGCTCCTGTTCCCTCAAGCCTGTTGGTGTCCGGGCCTGCGCACCCTCTCTGGGACCCCGCTGTCCTCTGACTGGCGTCCCCCCGCCCAGCGGGCATGGCTGTGGCTGGGCACACGGCTCAGACCATGCGGGGAGGGCACGCTGCCCACCTTTGAGGGTGACCGTCCGGATGCACTGCTTGCTCTGGACGTCCCACAGCCGCACCGTCTCGTCGTGGGAGCCCGAGAGCAGCACGGTGCCGTCCGTGGACACGGACAGGCAAGTCACCTGGTTCCTGCGGACAGGCGGGCGGGAAAGCGCCGTGCAAATGACCGCCGACCCTAGGATGGAGGAACAGCCCACCCCCACCCCCGTACCCCAGTCCTGACCTGTGTCCTTTGAAGACCTTCCCACAGTCCTGGTCGGAATGGAAGCTCTTCTCTCTCTGCCCGGGCTGTGGGCCGAGGGGGCCAGTGAGCAGCAGGCCAGGGGGCCTCTAACAAGGGGCGCAGAGGGCGGGGGGCAGGCGACCTTTGGGGTCTCTAGGGTTGGAGCTAGCGTCCCCTGGCTACTCACCCAGGTGCAGAGATCGACCTGGAAGATGGAGCCGTCGCTGCCGCCACAGAACATGTGATGCTCGGCCAGATCCATGGTCACGGCCATGATGCTCACGTCGAAGAGCACGGAGAGCAGCAGCTCACCCGAGGAGATCTCCCACAGCTAGGAGCGGGGGTGCTCTCAGGGACACTGGGGGTCCCAAGGGCTGCTCCGTGGGTGGATGGCCCTGACTGGGAGGTGCTGGACCCCCCCAAAGACCGTCAGCCTCCCCCCAAATGGAACTGGGTGCTCATGCTGGTGATCCCGTGCCAACACTAGCTTTAGTCACTGCTGGCTCTGGACCCCCCCCCCACTCCCATCCCCCAGACCTCAGCAAAGACCCGAGTTAAGCTAAACACCCTCAAATCCCCTGAGCCGGGGTCAGGGGACCACTGGGTGTGGTAAGCAAATGGAAACTCCTGCGCTGACACAGGCCTCAACTGACTACCTGCTGATGCCCTTGAGGTCAGAAGCCTCGGGGGGAGGGGGTGCTGTCCTAGACACACTGCCAGGCACGGCCTGCAGACCCCGGGAGTGTGGGCAGGGTGGGAGGTGTCCTACCTTCACCGTCTGGTCCAAAGAGGCTGTGGCTACCCGGGCCAAGGGCCCCCCGAAGCCGCAATGTAGGTCAGTGATGGGGAGAGTGTGGCGAGACCAGATGTGCCGGGGAACAGGGGTCCTGGAGGGGTCCACCTGTAGCACACTGTGTGTGGGGGGAGAGGGATGCCCCAAATGCTCACGCGGATGCCCCACACCCACCTCCAGCTCAGTCAGACTGGCCATGGCTTCCAGGGCATCCTCCCTCCCTCACCCTGGGCCTGGGTTGGGCAAGGCCTTTTCAGAGCACCAGGTAGGCACCTGCAGAGATTCCACACCAGCACCAGGCAATCCTTGCCCCCCGACAGGAAGTGGCTGCTGTCCCCAGTGAACTGCAGGCATGAGATGTCCTGGTAGTGGCGGCTCAGGATGACCAGGAGGTTTCCCGTGGAGACCTGCGAGCAGAGGACACAGGTCAGCGCAGCAAACAGCTGCCACTCTGGCCACATGGTCCCGCTCCCGCTGCTGCCCTCTGTCCTCCCTCACCCTGACCAGCCCCGTGCCGGTCCCATCTGTGGGCCTCAGCTGGTGCAAGGGGTGGGGTCCTGTAACCAGGGTCCCCAGGGAAGATGGGGGCTTTCTGAGTGACATGGCTTCAGGAAAGGTTGGGGAGGGTGTGCTTCCTGCAGGAACTGTGGGTGGCTCCTCCCGAATATTGGGTCATAGCCAGAAGTGACCATTTTCCAGGCTGGCTGTGAGAGCTTCAAGTATACTGCGCAAAGAGTCTGACAGAAGGGACCGGGAAAAGAAGCCAAGGTCAGCAAGGAGCCAGGCAGGCGGTCTAAGGAAGGAGAGGCTCCAGATGACAAGCCTGTCACACAACGCCCCAGCAAGGACTGTGAAAAGGGGGTGGAGGAAACACAGATCACAGATGCTGCTGTGGCTGAATCCTGCCCTCAGACAGCTGTTTACGTCCCCGGCCCTGGAACCGAGGAAGACGGGTCTTTGCAGTCATACAGCTGATCCGTGAACACGGGAGGATGCTGACTCGCCCAGCAAGAATGCAAATTTTTGATTCTCCAAAAATGCAACTATAGTTGTTCCCTGGGACCCATGAAGGATTGAATTCGAGAACCCTTCCTCTAACCAAAATCTGAGGATTTTTGACTGTTTCAGAGTTGGCCCTCTACACCCATAGGTTTCAAATCTGGTGATTCAACTAACATCTGGAGTTGCTGAATTTGTGGATGCAAAGCACAAAAGATAGGGGGGAAAAAAAGCTGTGTAAAAGTGAACCTGGAGTGTTCAAAGTGGTGCTTTTCAAGGCTGAACTACAGTCAGTTCCGACGAGGCCACACTGCCGTGGGGAAGCCCTAGTGCAGTGACCACAGGAAATCTGAGACCACCCACACAGGAGGCCATGTGAGGAGGAGGCAGAAAATGAGCCATCTGGCCCCGAGCCCACAATGCCTGCAGCCCACAGGAGCTGGACAAGCCAGGAAAGTCCCTGTCAGAGCTTCTGGAGGGAGCTGGGCCTGACACATTTTGACCTTGGCTTCTAGTTCCCCAGAAGTGGGAGAGAGTAAGTTTCTTTTTTCTTGTGCTTTGTTACCTCAGCTACTCACTCACCCGGGTGCCTTCTGAGCCCCCAGGACTGAACAGATCACAACCCCCTGGGGCCAGAGTTTCCTCTTGTGCAGAGCAAGTGACAGCTATTGTGTGTGTGAGAGCTGGGGCAGTGAGAGGCCGAATGCAGGGGCTCCCCAGGCTGCAGTGTGAAGAACAGAGGCTGGGCTCCTTGTTCCCCCCAGCCTTCCTACCCTAAGGCTGTCCAACCGCCCCCTCCCACAAAGAGGGAAAGGCAGTAGAGGCTGACATTGGCCCCCACCTGGACAGCCATACAAAAATGCCCTCCCCAAGGAGGAGCAGCAAACCAAGATGACTCCCTGAAATATGCTGACAGCAACTGACAGTCAACCTGTGAGGAGGTCCTCCCTGGCTCAGTTTCCCTCTCTGTACTTGAGATACTGCTTCCTAATCTCAAACCTTAGCATGGACTAAGGTTTAAAAGCTCCAAAAGTAAGACAATGAAGCCCCCTTGCATCAATCCTCAATGCCCATGTCACCTCTCTGGGAGAGGTGCGGAGGCCACTCAGCAGGTATGGAAGAAGTCAAGAAAGGCAGAACGCAGTTAAGTAATCTTCCAGCCCCAGGACCTGCAGTGTGTATGGGGATGAAGATAATCACTCAACACCACATGATCCACCCCAGCAGTCTAGAAGCCAAACCCATCACACCTGATTTGTATTCTCACCTCCCATAGATAGATACTTTCTGCAATCCCTGCCAGGACGTAGAGGCCATTGGGCGATGTGGTCAAACAGGTGACAGGTCCGGGACACATAATCTTCTGCTGGAGCTGGTCCTAGAAGGACACAAGAAGCCTCTGAGCCACCTGCAGAATTCAGAATCAGGGGACTGCAGGAGGGAATGTAGGGGGTGCAGAGGGTTCCCAAGCAGATGAGTAGAAACAACTAGAAAGAAGAGAGGGAATGGCTTGACTAATGGTTTGACCTGGATTGACTAAACCAGGGTTTGGCAAGCAAGCTTCAGCTGAGGCACTGGAGGGTGGAGCTGGAAACCTTAGGATTCTCAAATAAAAGCAGGTGCATGCTTTGTCTGGGTAGAGGACCAGAGGGGTCCTCTGGGGGTGGAGGCAGGCAAGGCACAGAAAGCCCAGGAGACCCCAAGGGTCAATCAGCTTGTGCCCCGATTCTGCCTCCCCGAATGTCTGGCCTGTACCTTGAGCCTGTTTCCAAATCTCTAAATGGGAAAACTTGATGAGCTGCTGTGAACCACATCAGGCCAAGCTAGAGCAGAGTCTTTGTCCCCAGGCACGTGAGCCCGTAGAAAGGGGCCACATTTGGGATTACTTTTAGAGAAACCATGGCCTATTAGGAAGGGTAGTCCCTTTTCTTTGTGGGGTGAGTGGGATAAATTCACGAGTCTCCCCGTATACCCTTTCACGGGGTTTCCCCAGACCTTCACCCTCCAAGACCACATGACTCAGAGAAACCCAACAACCCACTCTCTTTAAATTTCGCGCCTGCTCATACGCAGTACCCCAAGGGCCCCACTTTCCTAGCATTTCACAAACGCCTGCGCACAGTCCGCAGCCCAGAGACTTGATAACCCCCCCTTCGCCCCCCAGTCACTGCTCAACCTTACCTCCGCGCATGCGCTCGGCGTCCGAAAGGGTCTCACTCTCCCTAGGGCTCTCGCCTCCCACCTTCTAAAGAGTCCCCATACCCACGCAGGCGCAGAGCACCATAACGGAGACACCCCACCTCCACCCCACTCAGTTCAGGGGGCGTAGGCACCCCTCGACCCTTCCCCCGACCCCGGTTCCAGGTTCCCAGCGCATCCCCTGCGGAGCCCAGCCAGGGAGCGCCGCTGCACCTTCCGTTGCAGTTCCCAGGCGCTGATGTAGTTCTTGCCCAGCTGCGCCGCCAGCAGGTACTCGCCATTAAGGAGCGCCAGGCCGCGAGGCCCGGCCTGGCCGCCGCGGTACGTGAGCAGATTGGCGCCGGAGTGCAGCTCCCACACGACGCAGCTCCACAGCTGGGCCGCCGAATCCGTACACACGGCCACCTCCATGGGCGCCGCCATCTTGCAGCCTCCCTGCCCGGACTTGCGTCATCACTAGCGAGACGTTTTATGCGCCACGCGGGCTAGAGAGGCGCCCGCGTCGCCTCACCCCCGGCGGCCGGCGCAGCCGCGCGTGCGCACACGTTTCGGGGAGGGGGTGGCCCGACCCGTTGGTGGTTTTGTGATTTGGAGAATCTGGGGGTTTGCGGGTCTGCGGCTCGGGTGGGGACCCGGGGAGGAGACCGCGCCCCTAAACAAGAAGCCGAGGCCTCCCGCGAGCAGTGGGGTCTCAGCCTGGATGTTTGGGCGTCTTGGGGCAACTTACTCAGCCTCTCGCATCCTTTTTTTTTTTGAATCTGCAAATAAAACGACTCCCCGGTCCGGCCAAGACGGGGCCGCGGGACACAGCCCCCCCGACAGGACACCACGGCCGGCGCTCGGCTGCCCCCCGGCTGCCCCCCTGGGGGCCATGAAGTCCCCTTTCCGACTGCAGCGCACGGTGCCGGCCGCGCGGGCCGCGCGCTCGCCGAGGGGCCTGGCGGGCGCTGGTCCCGCCGCGACTGCGAGCGGCGTTTTCACCGTGTGGAGCCGCGCGTCAGCCTCTGAGCGGGGGGCGCCCCAAGCCCCGGCCCGCCCGCCCGCCCCGCGCTCGACGGAGCCGGGGGCGCGGGGCAGACGGGGAAGGGCGTCCCCCCGAGGCACCCGGGGAACGAGGAACCGGCGCCCCGTCGAGGGCGGCTCCGAGCTCCGACGGCGGCCGCGAGGTGGCGGGCGCGAGCCGTCTGCGCGGAGGCCGGCGGGGCCGGCGCCGGGGCTGGAGCGCTCGGGCCGCCGCGGGGGGCCGACGGGGCAGGGAGGGCACCGAGGGGGACGTTTTGGGAACCCGGGAAAGGGGCTTCCCAGAGCAGGGAACACACCACCTGAGGAAGAAAGTGGACGGAGAGGCGCGTGCGAAGACCGTGAGGCCGGACCGTGGAGGGGGACGCGGGGCGCCGGCGGCTTCGTGCGCAGTTAGGAGTCTCCATTTTACTTCATCCCGGGGGGGGGGGGGCGGGGGAGGCTCAGGAAACCAAGTAGTTTTGGAAGTTGAGAGTGGGGTGTCTAGACTCCCAGTAGCTGCCAAATAAGGAAACTGGGGGGCAGTGTTCCTGAATTCCACTCCCAGAACCAGCTGGTGCCCCAGGTTCCTGCGATGTTTTGAAAGTGGAATAGGAAAAATAAGACTTTGAAGACCAGTTTACACTTTCAAACACCGCCCCCCCCCATCTTTCTCTGAATCCTGAATCACGGGTGCTCTGTGGAACCCAGTTTGAAAATGGCCACAATGTGCAGTTTCCAGGGCTGAGCTAGGCGCCCTCTTTTGAACACTGACTTAGGACTGGAACCCCGCACTTCTGAGAGGGGGAGGCTCCGGGGCCTCAGTTTCTCCACATGTTAAAGCAGGTGTGCTCCGGTTCCCCAAGCCCAGCTCCTGCAAGTGTTGGCAGGCACAGGTGCAGGGGGAGAGGGAGGGGAAAGCTGATTTGAAGAGGGGTGCTGATGGTGGAGGGGGGAGGGGTTGGGGGGCAGGGCAGATGGACTACAGCCCTGTCCCCATCACTGGCCTCTCCCTCCCCTCCTCCATTCCTTGGGGACCCAGCTCATCCAGGCTGTTGTGTGAGGTCAGAGGTCACCCCACCCCCAGCCCTTCCCGGAATGAGGACAGACCAGTTGTGTCAGAAGAGCAGGACAAAGCCACACTTGGGGGCTTCTTGGACCACCCAGTTGCCAGACCTGCTCAGAGCCAGCTGGGTGCCTGGTCTCTAATCCAAGGCTGCTGGCAGCCCTGGAGGTGGGAAAACAGGCAGGGCCCTCCACAACCCCGAGTTCACGGCCTTCTCATTTACTGAGCACCTCCTGTTTTCGGGCACTGGGTACAACTGATAAACTGAACCAGACCCTCCCTCTTGGCATCCAGCCCCATCTCAGGCAGGCCCCCGTTCCCCGGCCCAGGGTACCCACAGCCATGGCAGTGGCTCCAGCCTTTCTGGAGTGGCCCCATCATGTGCACTAATGATCCTTTCAGCCCCTTCCCCCCTCAAACCCTGCTTCTTGCTGGCTCCCTGGGCGCCACTAACCGGAGTGGTTTTGAGTTTCACCTCCCAGGAGCCTCCCAGGGGCCAACTGGCTGGCGCAGAGCTGGGAACCAGAGGCAGGCGGCTCCCTGGGCTCTGGAGGCAGGGAGGAGGTGGTGCACCTGACCAGCCTGGTCCCCTGGGAGCTGTGTGACTTCAGGGTGGCTCTGACCCTCTCCAGGTCCTTTTGGCTGAGGAATGAACACGTGGTACTGGCAGATCCAGTTTGACGGAAAGTGACTTTCAGTCATTTTTCCTTTGTTTTCCTGGGGGGCAGGCACGTTGACCTCCCAAGGTTGTCTAACCTCCCACTGTCCCCCAGGCTCGTGGGGGCCAGGATCACGTCTTAGTGGATTCATTTCTGGCTTGAGTGGAAAATGCCGCAGAAGAAACTAAACAAGGGGGAGGCCCGAGAAGCTAGCTGGCTGCGACAGGAGGGGAGTTGTTTTCCTTCACTCCCAAAGCAGCCTGACTGCGGCTGGAGTCCGGGCTGACTCAGGCAGGAGGCACCAGCCTGGGCCAGCAGTGGCTGGAGTTGGTGGCCTGGGAGTCCGGACGAGGGAGGCCAGACTGGCCACACTGCCCTTGAGCCCGTCATGTTGGTCACAGGAAGATGGACGTGGCTAGGACACCCCAGGAGGTCTCTTCTGGGGATCCTGGCCTGCCTTCTCTGGTTTGTGAGGCGCCTAGAGGTGGCAAAGCACAGCCCTGGGGCTGCCCTGTCCCTTTGTCTGGCTTCCCTGGGGCCACACCCAATCTAAACAGGAATGTGAAAGTGTCACCAACATTGGGGAAGATGTGGATTTTGGTATAAGGCCCAGGACCCATGGCCTCATCTCCCAGGCTTCCCAAAGCCAGTCCTCTGGGGCAGTGACCCAAACCCCTGGGGAAGGTACTTGATTAGGGGACAGGCAGAAGAGGGACAGGTGGGGGTGAGGGAATGTCATACATTTCATGCCCAGTTGTCAATGTCTGGCCACATCTGGCAGAGGATGAAGGGAGCCGTGTGGGGCAGTAAGACCAGTAAGGCCTGGTCACGCATCCTAGGGCTTCAGTCCGCCGAGGAGTCTGCACTGGACACTGGGACTGCAGAAAACCAGCCTGGGGCCTAGGAGACACCAACCTCCCCACCCTGTGTCACTCCCAAACTGGGGCTTCACATCTGGCTCGCACCACTCACCTCCTCTTTCAAGGTTAACACTGAGGGGGCTCATTCTTCTGGAGGTGGCTTAGCTAGGTCCCTCCTGCCCTCCTGATGTGGGGGTCACTGTGGAGGGCTCTCCTGGGCGCTGTGGGGGGCTGACCAGCATCCCTGGCCCCACCATTCAGTGCCAGGAGATGTAATCTGGCGATCAAGGATGTCCCCAGACGTGGCCCGGTGACCCTGGGGGGTGTATTTCCTTCTGAGGCACCTCTGGGTTGGCCTTTGTGCCTTCTGCGACCCGAACCCCACCAGGATGGGGGTGGGGCGGCGCCCAAAAAACCACCACAGGAGCAGATTTCTGTTAAAAGTCAGAAGTGTTTGGTCTTGTTTTAATATCTCATCAGCTTTACAGGGTTACAATTGTCTTAAATATTTCTGAAGTTTAAATACAATCTGCATAATAATGTTATAAAATGTAAACTTTCAGTGTTCTTTTAAATTTCAAAATCACACTTTTTTTTTGGTCTTTTGCTTTTTTTTTTTTTTTTTCCCTTTTAATACCTGAATGTTCTGCAAAAACTGAAATCTGTTACAGGCCGCCCACGCGGGCAGCTCGCGACAGGCTGGGCCGGCCAGAGGTAGAGTAGTTACACCTTTAAAAAAAAAAAAATTTTTTTTTTTTTCTTTAACCTGAGTTCAGGCGTGGTATCCACGCGGTCTGACAAACCCCAGAGAAACTGAAATTTCACCTGTCAAGAATGAAAGGCTGAATTCATGTTTGCCGAGAAAAAACACAAAAGCAAAATTAAAGAAAAGAGTGGGCAAAAATGATAAAAGCGAAAAAAGTGGCTGTATAAATGCACATCTACTCAAACTAACCCAGCCACCCCAGTGCACCATTCCACCCCCGCCCCCACCCCCCAGCTGGACAGCCTTGTGGCCAGTTTAGAGGTCACAAGGAAAATTCTAGAAGCAATCTGTCCACAAACATCTCCAGAGCAGGGGAGCCCCTCTCCACCCTGAGTTTGGGAGTCCCTGCTCTGGCCCTGCTGCTAAGCCCCACCAGTTCCAGAATGGATAGTACACAGGCAGGGGCGAGGCACCCTGGTTTGCATAATGGGGTGCTGAATCACACCCCAGAAAGCTGCCCCTTCCTTAAACCCCCACCGAGGGCACCGCCCGGACAGACGCAGGGGCTCGAAGGGGGCACCTGAAGCAGGGGCAGGCCCTCTGGAGACCCCCACACCTAGCTACCCCAGTGCAGGCTCCAGTGGGCAGGGAGAGCAGGGCCTGGGGAGCACCCCCACCTGTCCCCTACAATCATCAGTGTTGAACAGCAGGCCGTGCTTTTGAGTTAGACCCCTCACAAGACAGCACCCGGGGCCACACACTCCACCACACAACACACAAGATCGCAGTTCACGCCCTCTGGGGGTGGGTGGGGGTGAGGGCGGCTCCCTACCTGCCCCAAGTCCTGAGCAAGTGGAACAGAAAGGCAGGCTGGGTGGATTTTGGCATCAAAGTCACACACCTGAGGTAGAAAGAAACGCCAGCGGAACCTCCCCCCCCCCCAACAACCCACCAGTGGGCTCCAACGGCAGGTGGGGGGGCAGGAGGGAGAAGGGACAAGGGGCCTGGAGGTGTCTGGGGACCAAAAGCTCCCCTTCCCACAATGATTGTGCTGCTGCAGCGAGAAAAGGGGAGAACCTTCTAGAAGGAAGCCGAGAAGAAACCCCTGGATGCCTGCCACCTCCCCACTTCTTGGGGGGAAGCATCAACGACCCTGAGATATATCAAACAAAGAGGGGTTCCTTCCCAAAGTCACACCACAGCCTGACTAGAAAGCAAACCAGATTCCCTGGCTCAGGACCTCACCCCCCAGAAGGTATCCAAGGCAACAAGATGATGCCTGGGACAAGGCTGGGGATGCTGCCAAGCAGGGCTCTGCCCCTCCCGGCTCATTAGGCTGGGCTCCCTGAGCCCAATTAGAGACTCCAGGCTCACCCTGGGGACAGCTGAGTTAATTTGCCCCACACCCCACAGGAACACCTGGCTGGTGAAGAGGCCCTACCTGTGAGAAGCCACAGCCCCACCCAACACCCAACACAGGAGAGCCAGGGGACCTGCAGGGCAGGGAAGCCAAGCAGTCCCCAAACCCAGCCTGAGCCCCAGGCTGGAGCTTCTGCAGGCAGTGGGGGCGGCACCTGCACTGGCCCTGCCTGAAACAAGTCACCCCCATCCTCTGAGGCAAGTCACTAAGGGGGGTATTAGAGGGGTACAGTCCCTTTGTGTCTCAGTTTAGTTACTCTAGTGCCAAAGGGGTGGAAGAGGACAAAGGGAGACCAGAAGAGGGGGGCTGTTCAGGGTGCCATGGCCCCAAAAACCTCACCCTGAGCTAAGCCTGGCTTTACCCCATTCCCCAGTATTGATAGTCTCCAAAAGTAGCCCTTGTGGGCAAGACAGAGCCCCCAGGCCGCATTCATCCCTGAGACAGGAGCCTGAGGGCTGTTCTGGGTAGAGCCCCCTCCCATCCTGGGGGGGGTGTCCTTTTCCAGCACTTTCTCCTAAGACCTCCAGATTTCTGTCCCGAGAGCTCCCTGCATGCAGCCCAAGGCATCCCCTCTCCCGAGAGGGCCCGCACACCCTGCCCACAGCACCTGAGTTCACCTCTGCTGGCTCCAGCCCAGGGGCCCAGTGTCCCGCGCGCACCAGCTGGCCAGCACACACAGGAAATGCACGCGCGAACCCAAATCAGTCATGGGAAAAATAAAAAGGGTATTACTTTTTCTTTTGTCAAGTCCAGTTTCCCTGAATGAACACAAATATATAGACGTATAGATAGATATATATATCCTCTTCCTAAGGTTTGACTCCTCCCCCAAGAATAAAATAGAATATTTACAAAACAAAACCCCCCAAACCTCTTAAAAACCCTATAGTCTGAATATCGCTATTTCTTTAAAAAACAAAACCAAAAACAAAAATGTTTCCAAAAGCAACAGGAAAAATAATTCAACTGATCGTGGCTCAGGGGTTATCATTCAACAGAAGCTGGATGTGGTGAGTGTGTGATGAATAGGATGAAAAAAACAAAACAAAAAACCCAGACAAAATGAGACAGTGCGGGACGCATGAGGTAAATACGGTCAGCCTTGCACGGCCGCGGGCCCGGCAGACACCGGACACCGGTCCAGGCAATCCGGGGCTGCACGAAAGCCCTGGAAATATTTGCCTCTCTCTTTTCTGATTTCCATTGCTGTTCCTGTAATTCATCTTTCTGAATGTTCGAAACCTGAGTAATTCAAGTGTTCGTTGGTTTTCCCCTGTTTTATTAAAATTTATATATATATGTGTGTGTATATATATATGTATATATTTTCTTCTTTTCTTTTTGGTGCTAGCTGTGGCTCCTTTGTAAATGTCTCCCTTACCCACCCATATCTCCCGACATTCTGGCCCCTGCTGGGCCCACCTCGTCCCCCCTGCCTGGCCTGGCTGGTTCCAGGGGTGGGGTGGTTGGTGGGGAGTGGTGCGGTTAAGGCAATGAGTTATTTGAGGTAGAAGACGTGGGGGGTGTGGACAGCCCTGCAGGCCCGGCCTGGCTGCCCACGCTGCTGCTGGTCCCGCTGCTTCCTCCCCGGCTGCCACCACCGCCACCACCACTGCTGCCACCGCCGCCTTTGCTGGGAGCTGAGGGTGGCGTGGGGGCCGACGGCTGAGCAAACAGCACTCCTGATGCAAAGACAGGGGGAGAGACAGGCCGTGAGAATTTCAAAAGCTTATGTGACAGGTCAAGGGACTCCCCTCAGACTCCCTACAGAGTCTGACAGGGATCAGCTAGGATGCCCTGAATTCGTATCATCATGTCCACCGCCAGCCACCAGGCCTCTCCACGTTGGCAGCAGTGCCCGATGCTTGTGTGAGCAACAGGCCTGACTGTTTTTAGAAAGAGATGTGAAACCTCCATTGCAAAAGGAGAAACATAACAACTAACACGTATCTTTGAGCACTTACTCTGCACTGGACAGGCTGCTAAGCTCTTACATAGTTATCTTATTTGAGAGCCAGAGGGAAGGCCCTTGGTCCTCGATCGTTTATCCTATATCAAGCCCCCAATGCCCCTGCTCCCCTTCCCACCTGGGCACGAGCAGCCAGACCTGGGCATGAGCCAGGACTCCCAAGTTAGCCTGGGGAGGGGCGAGTCCAGGCAGGCGCAGAGTCCTACCTGTGTACATGATCCCGTTAATCTCTACCGACATGCTAATACTGTTGCTGCCGTTGGTGCCGGTCACGCTCACGGCCGAGTCCTGGCGGCTCTCAGAGGCTGCTGAAGAAGAAAAAGCACCACTTAGGATCAGAAATACCTCTGGGTGATCGTCTACTTCTCAAGCTAGTCATCCCCACTGGACGTTCCAAAGGTGTGACTCGTAGCTGTCACCAGTGCACATAGTAGGTGCTCGGTAAGTGCTTATCAGATAAGAGCACTGAGGCAAAGGGTCAGTAACAAACAAAAATCTGACTGCAGAATTGAAGCTACCAGATGGGGAGGGGGAGGGGAGAGAAGAGTGGGGAGGGGCCCAGTGGACTAGGGTGCAGGACTATGGTGTTTGGTGGTGGGTGTGGTGAGGCAACTCAGCTGAAGGGGGTGACCCTGTACCTCTAAATCATCAACAGTGCTGTGAACCAATACTGCTTCAATTAAAAAAAAAAAAAAAAAAGAGAATGTATTTGTTGAAAATCTGTTTTTTTCATGATTGTTAGATGTCAGCAAACCCTAAATAATCTCTCATTCTAATTGCCAGAGAGTATTCCAGATTTGATTGATTCGTATGATGGACACAAAGGCTGCTTGATGTCATGCGAATGACGGACTTGAACGTCCCTCTATATACGTCAAGTCCTCACCTCCACCAACGGGGTCTTTGAAAATGTGACCTTAAGCAGAATGATACATAACAAAAGTAGGTCCTTGTGTTTTGTTCCAGTCATCTGGGATTTCTTTGTTTTAATCAATGTATAAACAAATGTTGCTGAATGAAACCCCATAAAGGACCAGCTATATGTGGTTCCTTGAGCACATACTCGCTCCGCCATAGATACCCAGAAGAATCACTAGGTCAACGTCCAAAAACACTGCTCATTTTTAAAAAGGACTGCCAAATTGTTGCAGCAGGACCATTTCCCCACATCCTGACCAATTCTGATATTCTCAAACTCTGATGGTGAAAATGGGATCTCCATAGATCCCCAACTACATGGAATCAACTTTTTGTATGAATTTACTAGTCACAGATGCCCATTTCTTCTACCTGTTTGCCTTTTCTTATTGATTTGTAGGTACTCTTTATATATGCTGGCCACAGGAACCTTGTTCTGCTACACAAGCAGAAAGCATGGAGGGTCTAGGTGCTGGGTTGGTACCTTGGCTGTTGATTCGAATGCTCATAGGCAGCTGGGCTGTCATGGCCAGGAAGTTCTGCTGCAGCGCCCGCTGCATAAGCCGCTGCTGTTCATCTGCCACCAGAGCCATCTTCTTCTCGGGGGGCTCTCCAGACTCTAGTTTCTCCCGAAGTTGCTCCAGGGCAGCTGCTTGTGCTGCCACAGCTGCCTGGGCTGCTGCTGCTTGCACTGCTGCTGCTTGGGCTGCCACCACAGGGTGGCCTGCCAGGGAGACTGGCAGGTGGCTGGGGACCGTGATGGGGATGGCAGAATCCTCCTCTAGAGAGGAGAGAAGAGGAGATGGTAGGCAGAAGGGAACTGAGGCGCCTGGCTCTGACTTCTACCCAAGGCGGGAATGTGCAACCTCTTGAATACTCCTGCTGATGGGGAGCTCACTCTTTCCAAAAAGGTGGATAGATTTCTGGATAGACATAAATGCTATAACATCCTTTCTAATATCAGGGTGACCGTAGGTAGTAGCATCAGGTGATGTTGCAATGATAACAATACTAGTTTGGACACAGGATGATAGTAGTATACAGTGTCAGCATCAAATAGATTATAAGCACAAATATCACACATAACACTAGTTACAACACATGGGCCCACCATGGTCTTGTCTAGAGTAGTTACTGTGAAACGTCTCAGAGAGACTGTTCAAAACCCCAGGTCTGTACTCACTCTTACTCCCATTTTACAGATGAGGACATCGAGGAGGCAAGATAACTTTCCAAAGGCCACAGAGCTGGGGAGGGGTACCTGGAATTTGAGCCCCACAGCCCAGCTCTAGAATCAGCTCCTGATCATCCCCTCTTGTGTGGCTGAAATCAATGTCCCCATCAATCCTGCTCAGAGGCCCCACTGAGACCTGTCGCCTCGTCTTCTGATTCTTCCTCCCACATCTCCCTCAGGTCGCCTGGCGCTGCCTCTCCATGCTCCACTTTGACCTCTGCAGTTGAGGGGTCCTCTACCCTGGAGTGTTTCCTTCCTCTTTTGGTCTCAGCTCCAGTATCTCAAGAGCCCCTCAGCCACCTTCCCCATCACCATGGACCTACTGCTACTGCCTACTCTTGGGGTTGTCTTGTCAGAAGCCCTCATTCTGGTACAATGCAGCCCCCAAGTCCAGCACAGAGCCTTGCACATGGTGGACGCTTAATCATTAATGGATGTCCCAGGATCCCCAACCCTGAGAGGGGTGAGGCTAAGCCCACGAAGGACCGAGTGAGCTAATGTTTAGCAAGATGCCATTCATCTTAGCTCTGACAGCTCTCAGTTTTCAGGGCACTGTGGGATCAGCTTAGATCCCTGGACCGCCCCTAGGCGGCAGGGACTCATAGCCCATGTGACAGGAGAAACAGGGCGCAGACAGGCAGCTGCCCTACTGGAGACCATGCTGCTGCATGTGCTGCTGCTGCTGCTGCTGTGTTAGGAAGGCTCAGAAGTTCAGCGGGAGACTGCGGCGAATGATGATGTCTCCCATAGACAGCACTTTCAAGGCACTGCCAGGCCTAGCCTGTGGCATTTTACAAACTGCAGGGTTCCTAACAATGCTACAAAGAAGGGGTAATTTCCCCCACTTTACTCATAACGAAAGCTGGGCTCAGCAAAGGGCAGTGAGCTGCCCAGGGGCACCTAACAATAGCTTCAGGATGGCTAAAGGGTCCCTAACCCACAGGGCACTCGGTGGCAGTCTGCCTGGACAGCGTGCCAAGAGGATTCTAAAGCTCAAGGGGGAAAGACTGTAGTAATCCACTAGTAATGTCTGTCACGGGAAGGGGGCTGGAAAAAAACCGTGGTGACTTACAGCATCAGCCACAGGCAGAAGCAGGGCCGATGCTATAATAATTATTGCTAATGTCTGCCACAGGACTGTAGAAGAGTACAGTACTCATTTGATAATGTCTGCCTCAGCGTGGACTGGGAAAACAGTGATGAATTAGTGACATCTACCATGGGCATACGCTGGGGAAACTGGGCTTAATTTAATACCTGCTTTGGCATAGAACTAGAGAACAAACTATTGATTAGTGATATCTGCCATGGACACAGATTTGGGAAAATCAATTACTAATGCCTGCCTGTAAGCCTGCAGCTGAAAAAAAAAGGTGATTGATTAGCAGTGTCTGTCAGAGGCACAGGCTGGGGACTGGCTGCTTTCCAGCCAACTCTGGGGTTACCTGCTGGTTACCTAGAGAGGGTGTCCCATCATACAGCTAGGCTAAAGCTGAGTCAGGATCAGGATGTGTGGCCTTTTACCTTTCTTGATCTTAGGGGCTGGAGTGATGGAGCTTCCGTTGGTGCTGGCGGTCAGTCCCAGGGAGGGCATGGGCAACTTGGGCGAGGACAGCACGCTGTGGGCCCCGCCCGGCGAGTAGGCAAACAGGGAGCCCCCAAAACTCTGGCGCCGGCCCTCACGCCGGTTGCTGTCGATGGCTGCCTGGAGCTCATTGGGGTTGCTGAGGCCACGCTTCTCACACTCGTAGGGGTACAGGTACTTCATGTACCTGCGGACGGGGGGGGGGGGGGGGGGGGAGGGCAGGATGGTGCCTGGGTGCCTCCTGTGGCTCCCTGTTGCCTTTAGTATAGAGCAAAACCCCACCGTGGCACCAACTCCCCGTCTCCCTGCAGTTCTCGCAGTGACGCTGCTTCCTGTCTCAATTTCTGTCTCTGAGATGTGACCCCCATCCTCATGACTGCTTACTGCTAGTCCTCTAATACTCAATCCGGGCGCCCCAGAATCAGAATACCCCTTAAGACCCCACCAACATCCTCATGTGGCCTGGACAGCTCCTGCCCCTTCCTGCCCTAGGCCCTGTGCACTGGCTGCCCATAGCACCCTCCTCCATCGTGGCCGTGCGGGCACTCACTGTGTCCGCAGGGTGAAAGCAGCGCTAGTGATGGACGTGGGCAGGTTGAGGCCCTTGGTGATCTCACGCCACAACTTCTTGTTGATAACTTCCACCAGCCCGCCCTTCTCGGTCACCAGCACATACAGCATGAACAGGTCCAGCACCTGTTTAGCCATGATGGGGATCCGGTTCACGGGCGTCCCTGTGGGGTTGGACAGGGTGAGTGAGACGAGGGTGTGTTGAGGGCCCCAGCCCCTCATGCAGCAGACTCTAGCTAAGGCCTGGCCCGGGGTGGGCTCTCCCATCACCAGTGACATCGGCACTCTCCATGGGGCTGTGCTGTCCTGGCACTGCTGGGGACTGGGCAGCTGCCCTGGCTCCTACCCCCTTGAGGCTAAGAGCAGCCCCAGTTGTGACAACCACAGACGTCCCCAGACATTGCAAATGTCCCTTGGGGGTAGGGTCATCCCAGGTGAGACCCCCCATTGGAGAAACCACCGAAGAGGCAGCTCGGCCTCAGTTTATCCATCAGTGGTCTGGGCTCACTGTTGATAGCAGACGAAGAGGAGGACAGGGTAGAGAAAGCCCCCCTCCCCCCCCCCCCCCCCCCCCGCAGGTGGGCCTTTGTGATTCCTATTGCACCTTGCTGAGCGCAGCAGGTGTCAAAACAACTCCACCTGCCTCCTGCTCCCCAGCTCCCGCTCCCAGGGGCCTGTCAGTCCTGGCTCCCAGGGGCTTTGCAGGGGGGGGGGGGGGGGGAGGGGAGTGCTTAATCCATTTAGCAGCTTAGAGAGTAAAGTGGTGGGGCTAGCACAGGGAGGGGAGGGGCGGTAGGTAGCACCTCCCGCCCCTCCCTTATTCACACCCTTCAAGCTCCAGGCCTGGCACTACAGCCCATGTCCACCACCTCCCTGAAGCTGCTGCACACAGCATGTCCTCTCTCCACCTGCGCCTAACCACGACAGGCCCCTCACCCAGCCACAGGAGCTTCTCATTTCAGCTCAGACCTTCTGGCAACGTCCTGGCCGGGCCCTGGTATACCTCTGCCCCCAACAGTGAAGTTCTGAGTTTCTTGTCCTGGTCCCGCCTGCTGGCTTGTCCCATGGAGTCCCTGGGGCTCTGCCAGGCGCACAGCAGGCGCTCAACCAGCGACAATAAAGCTGACTGCTCACACCCGTCCCTGGGGCACACCGGGGACAAGTCCAACTTCAGGGGAGGGGAAGGCTTGTCGGGGCCCACACATGGCTGCACTCCTGGGACCCTGGCTCTGGGTTCCCCCAAAGTAGACATTCCAGAACCATGTCCTGCCACCACCTCCATTCCCCAGTGAATGGAGGACAGTTGGGAGGGGGAGAGGACGATGGAGCTCAGAGACGATACTCAACCAAATTCTGTTCTCCAGCATAAGAGGGAAATAAAAAAAGTCAGCAAGTGTCTGTGGCACACCAGCCCCGAACAGCGCCCAGTGTGCCTGTGGTGCCCCACCCAGGGCAGTGGTTTTGCCTCTCCCTAGAGGAGGAGGAGAGAAGGATCACGCTGAAGCTCCCCCAGGGCTCCCTGGTCCGCGGGGCGCTGGGCGGATGTTTACAGAAGGAGGGGGCCACGTCTGCACGTGCAAGGAGGGCGCTGACAGGGCTAGTGGGCAGGGGGCCACAATGAAGGGTGCAGAGGTCGTCAAGGAAACCATAGAAGGGTAGGTGGAGGCAGGACCCCTCATTTCCAGGCCCCAGAGAACTGTGAGAGAAATCCAGTGTGGGGGAAAAATTACTTTCCTTCTATCTGGAGTAAAAGGAAGGTGGTGTCCAGGGTGAGAGGGGTCTGAGGTTCTGAGCACCAAAGGTCCCAAACTAGAAAGGGTCTAAGAAGGGTTCTGAGCACCAAAGGTCCCAAACTAGAAGGGTCTACGGTCTAAGAAGACCGTAGCGAAAAGGGAGCCTTGGGAGTTGGGTTTTGAGGGGTGCATAGGAGTTTGTTGGCCCCTGGCCTCCTGAAAAACCTGGCTTGGTAAAAGAGGCTGACCCTCGTGGCCCTGTCTGGCCGAGAGCAGGACTGACATGTTAGGGACTCCACTCTCACTCACTCAGGGGCAGCTCAGCAAATTCCCTAGTAACAGCAGAATACCAGGTGCCCAGCTGCGGATAAAAGCAGTGAGAATCCAGCAGGACAGTCAGAGGCTTGGGCAGGTGTGGATAGAATGATAAAGACAGCAGGGGAGAATCTCTCTGATCACAGAGGGGCAGTGGGCCTTGGCTGGGCTTGGCGATAATATGTGAGGGGCCCCCACACCAGCATGGATCTTGCCTCTTCAATCCCCTGGCATGGGAGGGGTTAACAAAGAGGCCAAAGCCCCCTCCCCTTTCATCTCCTTCCCTTCCGGTGCTGGGTCTGTGTTTACAGAAGCTGCTGGCTGGGAGGGGAAAGCAGAGAAGTCTGGACAAAGCAGTTTGCTGGCCCAGGGCTCCAAGAAAGCCTGGGGTAGACCCTGCGGGGGGGGGGGGGGGGGCCCCCCCCCAAGTCCTTCCTGCCTCTATGGCCCAAGGGCCAGGTCACCTTTCCCAGCCTTAGTCTCCTTTCCTGGAAGGTGGGATCATGACCACCCCCCACGGGGGGAGGGGGGGGAGTACAGAAGTGAGCCACACCCTGCCGAGGATGGCTGAGCACTCTCGCTCAGCTAGGTGTCCTGTGGTGTGGACAGATGGCTCTCTGCCCCGTGGCAGCTGAGGCCAGGGGTGGGGCAGACTGCGGAAGACCCCCCCCCCCACCGCTCATCCTGAGTGCCCCCAATTGCGGGGCCCAGTCCACCCTATGCCTGGGTCTTCTTTCCCTCCCCAGACACCACCCAGGCCAGTCTCTGCTCCCTGGTGCCTGGCTTCATACAGGCCATCTCGTTGTTCTCCAGGCCTCAGTTACCAGACACTTCCTGGGGGGGGCCATATCCCCCACTGCATCGGTCCTGACTGGGTGGATGGGGCTGGCAGGGCCACAGCGGACAGTCAACCTAGTACACCCTCAGTGCTTAATAAAAGTGCTGGCACTTGGTATGCTCGGGGTGCCTGCTCTCCGCAGTTTTGGGGCTGGCCTCAGGGTGGGGATTGTTTGTGGCCCACCCACAGAGGTAGGGACTGAGGCCGCATGGGAGCTGGGCAGGGGCTGGGATGACAACCTTGCACCAGGGGCCACCTGCCTGCCGGCCACTCCAAACCTGTGGCCCCAATGGGCAGGCCCTGCTGTGGAGGTTCCTGCGAGTCAGGACTGTCAGATCTGGGTTGAGGCCCTGAGTTAGGACCTACCCCAAGAGGCTCACAGCTGTGCTTCCCCCTCAGACACCCACGACAGGATGTGCCCCTTCTCTCAGCCCCGATGGCAGGTCAGTGGCGCATCCCCCAGACGCCTCTTGGAGGCCTCCAGCCGTGGGCACTTGCTGCCCTCCTACCACCCCTGCCTGGGCTATGACCGCGGGACCCTCCTCTGCAGCCCCGTTCCCGTGACTGCCCAGGGCAGGCCTCACCTCGCTTCTGCATGAAGCTGAACAAGTCATCCAGGAACTCCTTCCTCTTGGGGTCCCCATCCAGTTCGTAGAGCTGTGAGGGCAGGAAGGGGACGAGTTAGTTGGTGCCAGAACAGGGGTGTTGGCCCTGTTATGTGGAGGGCTGGGCTGAAGGGGAAGCAGAGACGCGCACAGAGATCTGGCCCTCCATGCTCCAAGCTCTCACCAGCATCCAAATACCTCCTGAGGCCCCTGGGCCAATAGTGAACCTGTTCCCCACTTTCAGAAGAGGACACTGATGCCCGAGTCGGGCCTCCTGTCCCGGGGTCTGGGGCCGCCTGGAATAAACAGTGCAGGCAGGTGCTAAAGACAACAGAGGCTCCTTCCCCTGCATTTCTGGGACCACAAGTCCAAGGGTGAGACCTCGTAGGGCTGTGCTCCCTCCGGTGGCTCAAGGAGGGCTCTTCCCGACGCTTTCCACTTCTGGGGGCTCCAGGCATCCTGGCCTGTAACTGCATCACCCCAGCCTCTGCCACCTTCTTGGCCTTTGCCGTGTGTCTGTGTCCAAACTCCCTTCCTCCTAAAGACGCAGTCTTTAGATTTAGGGCTGCTACTCCAGGAAGACCCCATCTTAACTAATGATGTCTTTTAAGAACCCTGTTTCCAAAAATAATTACATTCGTCTGAGCAGAGCCTTGAAGGAATCTTCTGAGGGACACAGTTCACCCCAGCACCTCCCGGCACTGCCATCATGGTGGGTGCACGAAGGCAGGCCCAGGGCTGGGACATCGGCAACTCTCAGTCTGGGGCCTGCGTTAACCTATCGCTGAGGGTGGGGTGGGGGTGTCCAGTGGGGGGTGGGGTGGCCCAGGTCCTCTGATTGTACATACCGTCCCCTGACAGGTGCTGGCAGGTGGGGGAAGCCATAGGGACAATTAGGAGTTGGGAGAGGCAATTTGCTGAGGAGAGGCAACAGCAACAGCCAACTTTGAGTTAAGCCCCAGGGAACGAGTCCCCATGGCCACGTGGATGGGACAGATCAGAGCCGCAGGGAGGTCTTGAAACCACCAATTAGCTGGGGCTGGTATAATCCGTCATTAGGGCCCAAGAACTCGCTGACGCCAAGCTCCCGTCACATGGGACGGGACGTGCCCCGGTCTTGGGGAGGCAGGCCCATCAGGGCTGACCACCCCACTGCTCCTCTCTGGGCCTATCCCCCCTCTGTGCGATGGAGAAGCAGCAGGGCCTCCCAGACACAGACCAGGGGAGTCAGGAGCAGGGACCTGGAGGGCTGAGGCTGAGTGGGGCTTTTGTGTCCCCCTGCCCTGCCCAGGCTGGCCGGCCACATTCCTGTGCTGATTTATGGTGGCCGGGGAGGCCCGGCATTTCCCCACCCCACTGCCTGAGGGGTGTGGGGCCTGCAGGTGGACCTGGCCAGCCGGCAGCTGGACCTTCCCAGGGGCGTGCATTTGCCAGGCTCGTCCAGCTGGCCCCTGACCCAAAGCCCCCTACCCCACATAGTCCCCTCAGGGAACTGCTCACCCCCTCCTCCAGGCCCATTCATCATGGAGCCACACAGAGGGCTCCTGTGTCGTCAGACCGGGCAGGGCGCACAGCAGTTGTTTAATACTTGTTCCTAAATAAACCTGGGTTTTCTCGGCTGCACCACGGCCAGGCTCGCGGGGAAGCAGACTGTGGGGAGACTCCTGGGACAGCAGGTGCTGGGTGAATACTGTCCCCCAAGTTCAAATGTCCCTGGAACCTGAGAACAGGACTTTATTTGGAAAAGGGGCCTCTGCAGATGGAGCTAGTTTGAGTCCTGACGGAGCAGAGAGGCCCTAAATCCAATGCAAGTGTGTCCTCATGTAAGGAGAGAATTTGAATGCAGACACAGGAAGGGGCCAGGTAACAGCAGATGTGGAGACTGGGGTGATATGGCCACGGGCCCAGGACGCCTGGGGCCCCACAGCCAGAGAAGGCAGGAAGGATCCGACCCTGGAGCCTCCAGAGGGAGCGTGGCCCGGGACTCCTGGCCCCAGGGCAGTGAGACTAAGTTATCAGTATTTGCAAATCCCGTCTGGGTGTCCTGTTATGGCCTGGCCCTCCCATCCCCCTCCGAAGCTTATACTGGGGCCTGTAAACCACAGACCCTTCCTGGTGCAATCCTCACTTGGGTGTTGGGGGTTCCACCTGCCTGAACCCCTTTCCTGGGCCCAGCCCTGACAAGGCACCTCAGTGATCCTCCTGCCTCAGTTTCTCTATCTTTCCAGGAGTGTGTGCGATCAACATAATAGCTTCACCCTGCGTTCCTGGAACTGGCAGGAACCCTGTATTCCAGGCGGGGAAACTGAGGCTCAGGCAGGGAACAGCTGCCAAATGACCCCACAGCAAAGGTGAGCCAGCTCTGGGGGCCACTCACCCCCAGGCCAAATGGTGGCCGGCTGGTGTGGTCAGATCCCTGTGGAGCCAGGGCAGTGACACAGGGCCATAAAGGGGGATGTGCAGGCCCCCCACTGCCAGGGGGTGGCAGTTTTAATGGTCATTGCAGTGGGCAGTCGACAACAAAGACAAACAGTAAAGGCCGCCCGGCTTTATGGGGTTCTGGCCCCGAGTACCGCTCCCCCACAGGCTGTTTCCTACTCTGGCCAGGGCTGCCCACCGGCCCTAGGGGCGGGGGTGGGACGGTGTCCAGGCCCCCTTGTGGGTCGGTGGTCATCACACAGCAGAGCCCGGGTTCTCCGGCTGAAATCCTGTCCCTGTCAAAGCAGACCAGATGCCTGCAGGCCAGCGCCGCAGGACGGGCTGGAGACGCGGGGCCAAGCCTCAGAGACCCTCCCCGACTGAGGGCCCGGATGAGTCGAAGACCTGGGGTCACGCTCTGGCTCCTGCCTGATGTGAAGACATCCTCCCAGCCCCCACAGCCCCCAAGACCCTGCAGCCCCTCTCCCACCTCACCTCCCTGGCCGACCTGCCGCTTCTCAAAATGGCCAGCCCTTGCCACCTCAGGCCCTTCCAGGCAGTTCCTCTCACACCATATGCCTTCCCGGCCTGCGCCCACGCCCACGCCCACCCACAGCTGCCCATCATCCGGGCCTCAGCTCAACACCGTCGCCTCCTAGGGGCCCTGGGGAAAGGCCCCCGCGGGCAGCCGCAGCCCCCGCTCTAGTAACGTTTTGTCGTGGCCCCTTTCCTCTCCCGCCGCTTTCCCTCCCCGGGTCTGGCGTGGCCCAAGCTGGGCGCGGTCACCTGCGGGAGTGGGGGTCCGCCTGTCGCAGCAGAAGGGCAGGGGTTGTGTCTGCCTTGTTCCCGGTGCGTGACACCGGCACGTGGCAGCGGCTTCATGAACCTCGCGAAACGGACCTCGATTTTTCAGGGCGATGTGGGACGGGGCGGCGAACCCTTTCAGAATCCAAGCCGTGTCAGGCAGGGCTCCTGCTCCGAGAACGCGGGTGCAGGCAGCGCCAGGCAGACAGGAATGGGGAGGGCCGGGAGTAGAGGCGAGGGAGCAGCCCCAACCCTGCTGGGGTCGACTCCCCCTCTTCCACTTCTCGCCCTGTGAGCAGGGCCCGTCCTGCCCACTGCACCTCTCAGCCTGTTCACCTGCGACATGGGCAGCGAGCCTGGGGAGTGTCAATGAGGGAGCCTGGCCAGAGGCACCCCCCCAGCCTGCCCGAGTGTCCCGCTCCCATCTCTGTTCTCCACCTGCTGAGGGTTATCAGGATCACCCCGCCCTCACTCCATGGCCCCCTCTGCCTGCCTTGGCCCTGGAGGGGCTTTTACCCCAGAATGGAGGGTGCTGGTCCGCTAATTCCCGAGGTTGGACTGACCAGGCACTATCTCCTACTCCTCAGCACCCCCTCTGCATGGGAGGAGAAAGAGAGGCACAGCGCAAGTGTGTGTGTGTGTGTGTGTGTGTGTGTGTGTATGTGTGTGTGGGACAGCCCTGCCCGCACACCTGTACCCCACTAAGCAGTCAGAGCATGACCCTCCCCAAGGGCTCCCTGTCACCCTCCCAGCCAGACCTCATGCCTCAGGCCTTCCCTCCAGCCCCAGGCTGACTCATGCTTTCTGAGCAAGCACACGCTCTCACCTCAGGGCTTTGACACTGGCCACGTTCCCTCCTCTCCACAAGACCTCACCTTCTCAGGGAGCCCCCCACCCTTCAATCTGCAAGTCTCTGCGGGGCACTGCTGATGCTGACCCTGGAGCGCATGTGGGTTTCCCTACAAGCTCCATCATATTTGATAAATGAATTGGCTCTGGACATTCCCTTGGTTGACTGACCCCGAAGATGCCAGGGAGGCCTGGGGACCCTCCAAGGGACTTCCCCAGGGAGGAAGCAGATGAAGCAAGAAAGGCTCAGGCTCAGGTATAGGGGGAGGGCGATGAGGGAAACGTGAGATAACCACCCCTTACTCCGAGCCCAAGGTGGCAAACAGGAAATTCTTGTTTGTGCTGACCAGGCACACCAGGGGAAACTGGCTGGTCAGCAGGGTCCCTGCTGAAGGGCTGACAGCCCCAGGGGCTAGGAAGGGTCTCAGCGGCAGGGGACCCCTCTGAACAGGCAGCTCCCTGGAGGTGGGACCACCTCCCCGCAGCCTCACGCAAATCCCAGGGAGGGACTCAGCTGGGGCGCTCCTAGGAGACCCCCTCCCAGGCACATGGGACATGTGGGCCGGTGAAGGTCACAGCACCTGGAGGTTCTCATCACCCAGGGGTTGGGGGAGGTGTCTGGCCAAGGCTGAGGGGCCCCCCATTGTAAAGAAACCGCCCTCTCGCCCCAGGGCCCCCTGGGGGAACCTTTGCCCCCTTGACTACTCAGGCCCCTTCCGGACCCAGGCGGCTCCAAAGTCCAAGGGGCCCCACCTCTGGACGAGGCCACTGGGTAGGCAGGCGAGCAGGGAGCGAGGCGCCGTCTTTGGAAGGCAGAGAGGAGATCAAGTCTGGAGAAAGAGTTCGAGTGTCTGGCATTCTGGGAAAGCAGGCCCTGTGGCCGAGGGGACACAGACGCGGCAGGGGTAGTGGCCGGATGGGAAAGGCCTATTTTTGCACCATCCAACATGGCTGATAAAGCAAGAGAAGGGGGCCTCCCTC